TATCCTCTAATCTGAGTCTTATAGCTGTATGCAGGGTGGAAAAGAACTAGATGAGGAAACCAATGAGCAGAAATACTCAAGATGGAAATGCTTGGCAATACTTAGTTCCTGTTTTAAAAATATTTATCACCAGGCGGGTTCAATGGCTGTAATTCCTACACCTCGAAGCGAGCACAGAGGCTCGCTCAAGGTCCAGGAGTTCAAAACCATAACTGACAAGAGTGAGACCCCCGTCTCTACTAAAAATAGAAAGAAATTAATTGGCCAACTAAAAATATATAGAAAAAATTAGCCGGGCATGGTGGCACATGCCTTTAGTCCCAGCTACATAGGAGGCTGAAGCAGAAGGATTGCCTTAGCCCAGGAGTTTGAGGTTGCTGTGAGCTAGGCTGATGCTATGGCACCCTAGCCCGGGCAACAGAGTGAGACTGTGTCTCAAAAAAAAAAAACATTTATTAATATTAATCAATGATGGCTACTTTAATGCTTACTGATATTATGTGGCATGTTGGTTTTTCTCATTTACCTTTTTGTATCTGTATTTACTCTTGTGAAAGAAAAAGGAATTTTTTCTTATTTGTATCAAGTGATCAGTGAGTGCAAAATGTTGTTTACAGTGATTTTCCTTAGCTGAATTCACACTAATTGTTATAAGTATCATGTATTCATAGAAACCCATTATTTTGTTACTTTTTGAGATCCCTTTTGTTTTTCTTATTTGAACTACTGCAAATTTTAGGCTACCTGAAAACTGGCAGCAAATGAAAAGTCAAAAAGTGAATTATAAAATAAAGATATACAGTTGATCCTTATTATTTTTAGATTCCAAATTTATGAATTTATCTCCTCATTAAAGTTTCTTTGTAACCTCAAAATCAAAATACTCAGGGTGTTTTTTGTGGTCATTCTTGGACATGTGCAGAGTGCCAAAAAATGTGTTGCCTGATACACCAACTGAGGGTGGAACAAGGCAACTGAAACTCTACTTTCTTGTTTTGGCATTCAAACCGCAAACAAGTGTCTTTTTTTTGTGGTCCAATTTTTTCTGCTTTTTTGTGGGGAGGATGCTGACTTTCTTATCTAAAATGGCCCCTAAATGTAGTGCTGAACTGCCATCTAGTGTTCCTTTTTTTAAAAAAAAACTCAGAGAACGTAGATTAATATGACAGCTAGTGTTCCTAAGTGTAAGAAGGCTGTAAAGTGCCTTACAGAGAAAATATGTATGTTAGATAGGCTTCGTTCAGGTGTGAGTTATAGGACTATTGGCCGTGCAGTCATTGTTATTGAATCAATAATATATATATTTGGTAAGTTGTCCTTTAACAGAAACATACAGAACATATGCAAAACAAGGTTATGTATTGATTAGTTAATGAAAATATTATGACCAGGCCAGGCATGGTGGCTCACAACTGTAATCCTAGCACTCTGGAAGGCCGAGGTGGGAGGATCGCTCAAGGTCAGGAGTTCAAAACCAGCCTGAGCAAAAGCGAGACCCCGTCTCTACTATAAATAGAAAGAAATTAGCTGGACAACTAAAAATATAGAGAAAAATTTAGCCAGGCATGGTGGTGCATGCCTGTAGTCCCAGCTACTCAGGAGGCTGAGGCAGGAGGACTGCTTGAGCCCAGGATTCAAGGTTGCTGTGAGCTAGGCTGACGCCATGGCACTCTAGCCAAGGTGATAGAGTGACACTCTGTCTCAAAAAGAAAGAAAGAAAACATTATGACCAGAGGTTTGCAGGAACCAAATCCTATATTTTCTGTAGGAGTAATGATTCAGTACTTGCTAATTAGTGTCTGAGGTAACTTTATAGAATCCAACTACTGCAAATAGCAAGAATCATAAATTTTTAGTAAAATTTATAGTAATTTTTAAATGCTTTTCACATATATCATCTTTGGTTTTCATGTTGGCCTATGATACAGAAGTGGATATTATTCTTTTTTTTTTTTTTTTTTTTTTTTTTGAGACAGAGTCTCACTTTTGTTGCCCTGGCTAGAGTGAGTGCCGTGGCGTCAGCCTAGCTCACAGCAACCTCAAACTCCTGGGCTCAAGCGATCCTCCTGCCTCAGCCTCCCAAGTAGCTGGGACTACAGGCATGCGCCACCATGCCCGGCTAATTTTTTCTATATATATATATTTTTTAGTTGGTCAATTAATTTCTTTCTATTTTTAGTAGAGACGGGGTCTCGCTCAGGATGGTTTCGAACTCCCAACCTCGAGCAATCCGCCCGCCTCGGCCTCCCAGAGTGCTAGGATTACAGGCGTGAGCCACCGCGCCCGGCCTGGATATTATTCTTATATGTTTGAAATGTTGCAAACTAATTACTTATTAATATTTAGCTCCAAATTGGCTTTTGTCTTAAAATGTTTAATGTAATGTAATTATAAAATTACCTTTCTATTGTTTTTTTTTTTTTTTGGTAAATTTAATTTAGCCTGATGCAAACAAAGACGCTATGCATTATGATGCTGAGATTATCCTTAAAAGACAAACCTTGTTAGAAATACAGAAGTTTCTTAGTGGAGAAGACTGGAAACCAGGTGCCTTGGATGATGTACTGAGTGATATTTTAATTAATTTTAAGTTTCATGATTTTGAAACATGGAAGTGGCGATTTGAAGATTCTTTTGGAGTGGATCCATATAATGTGTTAATGGTAAGATGGGATGAGGGCAACATGGTTAAGTTTCTTTTTAAATATACTTTGAAAACTCCACCATAATTATATTAAGAACCTATACTAAGTCACTCATACTGTATTGATGAGCAAGCAACATAGTAGTACAAATGATTTTATATATTTGAGCCCAGTTTTTTTGTTTCGAGTGACTACTAATGTTTTATGGTGGGAGGAAATCTTATAGTGACTCTGATTTCTGCCTTCTGTTTTTGAGGTACTTCTGTGTCTGCTCTGCATCGTGGCATTAGTAGCTACCGAGCTGTGGACATATGTACGTTGGTACACCCAGCTGAGACGTGTTTTAATCATCAGTTTTCTCTTCAGTTTGGGATGGAATTGGATGTATTTATATAAGGTATTAAAAGGTGGAGGGTTTTAAAATATCAAAGTATGAATTCATTCATCTGAAAAATGGAAAGAATAATACAGAAGCAAAAAAGTTTTTTAAATATAATTTTTAAAATTAAAAAAAGATAAAAATAACATGAATTCATAATAAAAGAAAACTATAACTCATTTAGTGCAATCTTTTTAGTAAAGTGTTCTTTTCTTATAATTACTTGTAAAGAAGGCAATTGTAATTATAATTAGTTCTTTTTTTTTTTTGAGACAGAGTCTCGCTTTGTTGCCCAGGCTAGAGTGAGTGCCGTGGCATCAGCCTAGCTCACAGCAACCTCAAACTCCTGGGCTCGAGTGATCCTTCTGCCTCAGCCTCCCGGGTAGCTGGGACTACAGGCATGCGCCACCATGCCCGGCTAATTTTTTATATATATATTAGTTGGCCAATTAATTTCTTTCTATTTATAGTAGAGACGGGGTCTCGCTCTTGCTCAGGCTGGTTTTGAACTCCTGACCTTGAGCAATCCGCCCGCCTCGGCCTCCCAAGAGCTAGGATTACAGGCGTGAGCCACAGCGCCCGGCCGTAGTTCTTTATCCTTACTTATTGCACTAAGACCATACTTTTCCATGAGCTGAAAATAGGTACTCTTTAAAAATAATGTTTTTTTTTTCTATTAAAAAATTTTAAACAATCTGGTTTAGATGAATGGTAAAGACACACTGAACTCTAGGGCTTTTTGGATGTGTAGGTGTAAACTTTCATTAACACCCTTTCATGGTTCCCTTTTGGTGCTGGTCAGCTAGCTTTTGCACAGCATCAGGCTGAAGTTGCCAAGATGGCGCCATTAAACAATGTGTGTGCTGAAAAGATGGATTGGACTGCAAGTCTTTGGGGTAAGGCATTTGTTCACTTGGCCTTATTTTGAATAGAATTTCTAAAAATGAGAGAATATATTAGTAATTACAAAGAAAATGATAAAATGCCAGAAGAGGCTTTCTATGATGGAATCTTTAATATCAGAAGAACATGCAAGAGGAGTCTTAGGTTTAAAACCAGTGACTTTGTGTGTTCGTGTAAAGTCACAGGGAAGGAATAGAAATTGTATACATGTTGAGTCTCATGTCTTCTTCCATTAGACTGTGAAGGATCCTGTGCTCATTTTTGTTTTTCTAGTCCTTAGCAGTGTTCAGCACATTCTAGGTCCTCAACAGAAGTTTATTAAAGAAGTGAATGAAAGTATATGAGTTAATATCTATCTTAGATTTAATCTCCTTATATCAGCTTATCAAAGTTGATGTTGTAGCTTTGCTGTACTTTTTTGTTTTAACTAAGGGAAAAATTTTGTTTTTTATTCTTTCAGATTTTATAAATATTCTCACTAATGTTGATTGTGTTTGGTTGTGTATATCTAGCAATGGGAATAGTTTGCTCATGTTCAAAGGCACTTTATAAATGCAAGTCCATTATGATTGACAACATAGAAACTCAGCAGATTCTACAAATGGGTTCCAAAATTAATGTTTCTTTAAAAAAAGTTTCTTAGAAAGCCAATTCAGCTTTGTTTCTTAGCTTCAGAGACAACGAAATACCTCCTCTAGCTCAGGCTAGTTTCCAAATGAGATAACTGTAGATTCACAAGCAGTTATAAGAAATAATACATAGAGAGCCTATGTACATTTTTCCCACTTTCCCCCAATGATAACATCTTACACGACTATAATAGTACAATATCAGAGCCAGGATATTGACTTTGATACAATCCACCAATTTTATTTAGATTTCCCAAGTTTTACCTATACTTATTTGTGCGTGTAAAAAACTGCTTTTAATTATTTACATTTTAGACATTTTTATAAGATATAATTTTTTATCTGTATAAGACTTGTATAATTTGAATGGGTTTTTAAAATAAATGTGACTTTGGACATAGGATGAAAGTTTTAAAAATCAGCATTACAGAAAATCAATTTTAAATGTAAAATAAAACAATTTAAAATTGATTGATGGGTGGTCAGTGAGGGTCAAAACCACAGTATTGTATTATTATTATTTTTTAAATGAGTCAGTGTTTTATCTGTTTCTCTAAATAGAGTGGTTTAGAAGTTCATGGACCTATAAGGATGACCCATGCCAAAAATACTATGAACTTTTATTAGTCAACCCTATTTGGTTGGTCCCACCAACAAAGGTAAATACAGCATATTTTTTGTAAAAATTACTTATACAAAGTAAGGCAAAAATTTATTATATTTCTAAAAAATTTTTGTGTTTTTAGGATCATTTTGCTAATAATCTTTGTTCTAGAAAAAATACTTCCTTTACATAGTGATTTTTCACATTAAAAGTGACATATGACAGCATTTTAATTTGTTAACATAATTTCAGCCTCAGGGCACAATGAATTTTGACTCATTCTGTGTGCCTCAGTCCTTTGAGGAAAAAATTAAGTTGCTTTTATTTCTTGTTATAGGCACTGGCAGTTACATTCACCAACTTTGTAACAGAGCCACTGAAGTACATTGGAAAAGGAACTGGTGAATTTATTAAAGCACTCATGAAGGAGATTCCAGCGTTACTTCACATTCCTGTGCTGATAATTATAGCATTAGCTGTCTTGGTTAGTATAATTAGCACTGTCAGTATTTAGCAGGATTTACAGAAAAGCAATTCTAAAATTATTAGGCTTCTATGATGTTGTAAGTCAGGCTAAGTCACGCTTACTGGAATGAAGAGGTGATTTTTTTCTTTTTTTGGAGACAGGCTCTCACTCTGTCACCCAGGCTGGAGTGCAGGGGCACAATCATAGCTCACTGCAGACTCAAATTTGTGGGCTAAGCGATCCTGCATCAGCCTTCCTGTGATTTTTAAGTGATACAGATTTATTTATGCTTACCTGTATGTTACTCTAATTAAGGAAGTGGTTCTCTAGTTTGATTGTAGATGTCTTAGCAATGATTTAGATTAATAATCCCTTTTTAAAGTTGTTCTTTAAACTTGGTGAATTAATACACAGGAAGTTGGTTACTTCCTTTTTGAGAAAGGGGGCTTTCTTATTTCAGTCTGAGTTTTTGCAGCACTTGGAAAGTAAGAGCATTGGGTTTAACACAGAATCAGAAAGGGATATAGAAAAAGGTGGGTATACTGAGAAATATTAATAGTTTGGGGGATCCAGAAGCAGACATTTATTAAAAAGAAATATTACTGGTCATTCATCCATGGTCTTTTCAGCTTCTTTGCTGTAGGTTTTTTAGCTGTTACTCAAATAAAGTAGTTGTTACACAAAACAAAAAGAACTCAGATCTGCCATGGGAAATTCTTCTCCCTAAGGATACAAAATTCACTATGCTCTATTATAATAACTTTGAAATTGTTCCATTTTGGTTTTGTTTTCTGGCTTGTGATTACAGGATTCAGTGGGTTAAGAGGTATGATTTTTTTAGGTAACACACTAGTTTTATAGTAATAGTTTAATCTCTGAAACTGAAATTATAAGCAAAAGCTCCATCTCTTTTTGTATCTGCTCCCTAGGAAAAGTTATGCTCTTTGACTTTTGCTGATTCTGTTTTCAAATAGAAGTATGTCTCTAGTACAGGGATTTTCAAACTTTTTGTTTTCAGGACCCCTGTACCCCCTTAAAAATTGAAGACCACAAAGAGCTTTTGTTTATGGGGATTATATTTTATATATAATATAAAATATATGTTACCTTATACTGATATTTATCATATTAGGAATTAAAACTGAGAAATTTAAAAAATATAAGCACTATATACAGCATACATCCTATGAATCCTCACAGTGTGGATGTCACTTTAGCCTCTGGAGGACTCTGCTGCACACTGAGAAGATAGTGAAGAAGACAGATAATGTATTGTGAAAAGTTTTGACCTCACAGATCTCCTGAAAGAGTCTCAGGGATCCCTCCCAGGGGTCCCCGGGCCACACTTTGAGAATTGTTGTCTACTTTTTCTCATAGAGTGTGAATCGAAACCTGTTGAATTTTAGCTGTAGCTTAGTCCAAGTTTGTATTTGTAAAAAGTACACCTATAGGAGAATGTTTACATAATGATGTAGAACTTTAAATAATTTTCAGCATTTACCTTATATGAGGGTGTGAATATAGAAACATATGAACAATTATCAGATAGCTAGAACCTTCTAATTTAAATTTCTAGGCTTTGGCCTGCCATTGTTACAATTCAGTCAAAATGTGTCCAACTGATTAAAATGTGTACTTAGTACTGAATGGTTTATTAAATTTTATTATTAATCCAAAGAAGAGGTCTCTAATGAAAAGAGTCATATTAACATGTTGATGCCCATAAATGCCACAAGTTAAATTTCTTAATTTTGTTAGCATCCTGACAAAAACACCTCATAACTTTTCATTATAATCCAGCCATTAAGTCCTCAGGAAAGTGTGTGTATTTTCTTTATAGAGTTTCTGCTATGGTGCCGGAACATCAGTTCATGTGCTAAGACATTTGAGTGGTCCTGAGAGAGAACCTCCCCGGGCACTCCAGCCAGATGACAGAAGAAGGCAGAAGGAAATTGATTATAGACCCCATGGTGGAGCAGGTGATGCAGATTTCTATTATAGGGGCCACATTTGCCCCATTCAACAAGGCCCTTATGACAAAACATATGAGGGTAGAAGAGATGTTTTGAGAGAGAGAGATGTTGACTTGAGATTTCAGACTGGCAACAAGAGCCCTGAAGTGCTCCGGGCATTTGATATACCAGACGCAGAGGCACGAGAGCATCCTGAGGTGGTACCCAGTGTAAGTTAGCAACTGTTTATTTTGCTGTCCCTTCATACTAGGCCTAAATGCTTCCTATAGAGCTTTTGATAAGTGTTTTTAATCTTTTACCTTTCATTGTTAATTTTATCACAATTAATCTAATCTCTCCCCCTTTCTGGCCAAAAGTTAGTCCAGCTTCCTCAGAAGAAATAAAATGAGATTTAATTTTTATGTTAAATGTTATTTAATGGTAGTTTGTTAGAACAGATGGTAATTCATATGAAATTTCATACGAAGCTGACAAATGAGCATGACTGAAATTTCTGTCTTTGAAGAGATCAGAGAGAAGGCCTCACTGAAGACCCAGAGCCCTAGGAAACTAGCAGTAGAGCCCTAAAGTCTTAGCTAGATGGAAGAGAGAGAGGGGTTGGGAGGATTTAAAAACCTTGCTTTGCCAAATATTCTGTATCATTGATTGGTTAGACTATACTTTTAACCTGCAGAATGGTGCATTTTTCACCATTATTGGTCTTTTAAAGGGACCTTTCCATTTCTGTTTGAGAGAGGAATTTATATTGTTATTTGCAAAGTTTAAGTTGCAACTATAAACCTTTGAGAAACAGTTATGAGCATAATAGAATCTAGGAAATTATAGCGTCTTTTCCCATAGAATTCCTTATAAAAATAAACATATCTACATGTATCTAGAAAACCTTAAGATGCTCCTTCCAGCTTTTGATAGTTACCTGTCACTCATCTCAAAAATCTTCCAGTGATGAGTTTTAAATTTATTTGGGGAAAAAAAAAAAAAAATCTTCCAGTGACTTCCTATGTCACTCATAGGGAAAGCCAGGTATGGCAGTGGCTTAGGGGCCTCCTTGATATGCCCTTTTCTCACATCCACTACCTTACAGGTCATCTCCTACTCACTCTATTTCAGCCACAAGAGCTCCTGCCTGTTCCTTGAACTCAGAGCCTTTATATTTCCTGTACACTCTGTCTAGGATGCTCTTCAGCTATATATCATATGGTACTTTTCTTTAGACCTTTAGTCATGTCACCTTTTCAGACCACCCTAATTTAAACTGCAGTCCAACCCTACCCTTCCCCCCGCCTTCTTCCAGCACTTCATCTTTTTTCTCTTTTTCTACATAGCCCTTCATTCAACAGATGATGTTATCCTTCCTTAATTTGTTTATTGCCTGATTCTCTCCCAAACCTAAATGTAAGTTCCAGTGAGAGTAGTTTTTGTATTTTATTCCTGTTGTATCCCTAGCACCTAGAACTTGGTATGTGCTCAGTAAATATTTGTCAAATGAATTATTGTCACCAATCAAGAAGAGTTAGCAATACTGGTCACCAATCTTCTTGACTCCTTCTAAGCTGGGCCACTAAGACCACCTAGTATATCCTAAGTGTTCCCACTCCTCCATGTACAGTTCTGTGAGGCTTAATAACATTTATATAATTATAATCCAGCATTGGAACCAGGATTTTAAAGAGTTTGGAACTAGCTTCAACCAATTTGGGTAGGAACTTGTTAGATATATTTGATTATGAAAACTTCACATTACCTTAAACAGTTAAAACAAAATATAATTCTGTACTTTATAGCATAAATCACCTATTTTGGATACAAAGCCCAAAGAGATTGGTGAAATCCCAGGAGAAAGCATACCAACTGAAAGCAGCAAGTCTGCTAAGCCTGTCTCTGACCAGGAGGTATCGGGGAATATGGAGGGTTCACCTGCAGTGGAAAAGGCCCAGCTCAAGACTGAAGCCAAAGGCAACTCAGGGGAAGGCGATGCTCACAGCCCAGCAAGAACTGCTGCTGGAGCATGTGGAAAGGACCCGGTTGGCAGCCCCTGTGGCTAGAGGAACACAGACACAAGTGACAGCTCTGAAGTCTTTGGATTTTGTAAAGTATACTCTTAACTCGATTCACTCTTCTTTATGAATGTTCTGATATTTACTACAAAGATGCCAACTTAAACATTAACATTTTTACTGACAATCCGAATTAACAAACACATTTATGTATGTAAAAGCTTTTGTTTTAATTCCATCTTCTCTTTGATATATACATCCCATAAAGTTTTGAAGTGTTAAATTTTAGAACAGGGTCTCACAGAATTTATATTTTAAGATGAATATATGGCATACTTCACTGAGTCTGGATAAAGAGGCCAGTTTGTATTAGGGGACATTGAAAAAGAAATTTTAGGAACCAACTAACCAAAGTTTGTTGCCTAGTGGAAGTCCTGTAATACCCACTTTAGTTAACAGCATAATCTGTTCTGCATTGGACTCAAAGTATTTCCAATGTGATAGGTACTCAAAAACTATTTTTAAGAAGAATCCACTGTAGTTAAGTTTGCCCTCTTTGTGCACTCCAGCATCTTAATGCAGCTGTGCAGTACACATTACCAGCATCGGTAGGATTGACACCTTAGTGTATCTCTATTTAGGCCACCCACAGATCAGTGTGCCTTTCTAGTTTCATCTCTCCTGCAGCTATTACTGGGCCTGCTTCCTTATTGTCCCTTTTACTTTTATGTAAGCTGAGACAGAACTGAAGATTGCTAGGGGACTTTAGATATCATAGCTTGTTATATCAGTAATCTCAACATTACATAGTAGATTTGGAGAGTGGCTTTATTCTTTCCCCCACCAAGGCTGGGCGAGGTGGCTCACGCCTGTAATCCTAGCACTCCGGGAGGCCAAGACAGGAGGATCGCTCAAGGTCAGGAGTTCGAAACCAGCCTGAGCAAGAGCAAGACCCCGTCTCTACTAAAAATAGAAAGAAATTAATTGGCCAACTAAAAATATATATAGAAAAAGTTAGCTGGGCATGGTGGCACATGCCTGTAGTCTCAGCTACTCAGGAGGCTGAGGTGGGAGGATTGCTTGAGCCCAGGAGTTTGAGGTTGCTGTGAGCTAGGCTGATGCCATGGCACTCTAGCCAGGGCAACAGAGACTCTGTCTTAAATAAATAAATAAATAAAATTTAAAAAAATATTCTTTCCCCCACCAAATGAAGTGTACAGGCTTTTATCAAACCTGTTTTTCTTGTTGCTCAGAATCCTAGCGGTTGAGACTATTAGATGTTACCATATCTTATTTATATTATAGCAAACCATATTGTCTTGGCCATATGAAGTTCTAAATTTTAGATATCTATACATAGTAAAGAATACAGTGGTAAGGAAAACAGAGTAGGATGTTTTCCTTAACTGCCCATAGGTCATCATCAGCATTTTTAGTCTGATTTTAAAAAGCATTCCTCATTTTAAATTTTTTTAAAAAGCAATTTATAAATTTTGCACATGTTCCTAGCTAGCAGATATCAGATACATCATGTCTCCTTTGTTTTAACCATATTCACACTAGAAGCCATGTTTAGCTGCTTACTAAAAGTGATACCAGTCAGGAATAAATTCTTAAAATTTTCAGGCAGGCATTTGTTTCAGAAAATATATTTAGCCGGGCGCGGTGGCTCACGCCTGTAATCCTAGCTCTCTGGGAAGCCGAGGCGGGCGGATTGCTCAAGGTCAGGAGTTCAAAACCAGCCTGAACAAGAGCGAGACCCCGTCTCTACTATAAATAGAAAGAAATTGGCCAACTGATATATATATAAAAAATTAGCCGGGCATGGTGGCGCATGCCTGTAGTCCCAGCTACTCGGGAGGCTGAGGCAGAAGGATCACTCGAGCCCAGGAGTTTGAGGTTGCTGTGAGCTAGGCTGATGCCACAGCACTCACTCTAGCCTGGACAACAAGCGAGACTCTGTCTCAAAAAGAAAAAGAAAATCATACATTTGCTTTTTGATTTTTTTTTTTTAATGAAATGCAGAATACCCATTTTTGGCCCCCAGAAGTGTTACTTTAGGTGCCTGTAGCAATTTAGTTTTACAGGTTAATATTCTAGTTTAATATTACAAACATCTATAGCATCTCTTCAGAAAGGTAATCTTTTTTTCCAAGAAGTACATAGGATTTTATATTAAGATTTTTTTTTAACACAGCAGGCATATAACAAATTAATGACAGGATGCCTGCAGTTTAGATTTGGGAACATCAGTGTATGTAAAGTAGTCCTCTCTGGGGACTAGACCTGTTCACACTGATTGGTGAATATGCTCCCAAGGTGGGAGTTGTCCTGAGTTGTGATCTGATTCTGAAGTGAAACAAATGTCTCAGGTGATAGAGTGTATGGTGAGAGTAGAATTCTGCTTGCACTCTTGACTGCTTTTACTCCAATCCAAAAATGAGTTCCTTTTTTAAAATTTTTAAATAAAATTTCATCTTTGCATTCTTTCATTACAGATATCCATTTGGGGATGAAATCTACTTTGACAGCTAGCAAGGCAACATGCTACTGCTGTTGAATGATGACAGCAATTCAGGGAAGACTTTATTAAAGCAAATCGAACTTATCAAGGCCAGTTGATTACCGGAAAAGTGATAAGGCTTGTTTATTGACTAGCCAATATTTGTCATTAAAATTAAGGCTTATAGTGAGCAGCTTTTAGGAAAATGAGAAAGCAGTTAAGACAGAGATAGACAGCTGTTAAAAGCAGTTTTTAAATGGAATGGATAATGTTGAATGTTTACAGGGTCTAAGAAACACTGTATATACAAAATAAACTTATTTTTACATTATTGTGATTTGATATGTTGCCTTTGCTCGTTGAATTTTTTTGTAAGAAAAAGCTCCATGAGTCTATGGCCATACCACCCTGAACACGCCCGATCTTGGAAGCTAAGCAGGGTCAGGTCTGGTTAGTACTTGGATGGGAGAAAAAGCTCCATGAAACTTATGTTACCTTGGGATAGTATATCTTATATATAACATATGTGAAACATAATGTAATCTAGGTTTTAACTTCATACTTTCTTTTAACTTAATGCTTTGATCTTAAAACCAAGAATAATGCTTTTCTTTTTCACAGAGCCCTTAATATAATTTCAGACTCTGTGACTCTCTCTCACATTGGCCGTTTAGAGTACTCACTGCCCATAAAAATCACCTGAATGACTTTTTGAAAGACCAGGGGCCCAGAACCTCAGATCCCCTCCCAGCTGTGCAGAATCAGAAGCAACCAGATTTTAATGAGTTGCCAACTTGTTCCAGGCGTGGCAATTTGCATTGTGTGATTCAGTCTTAATCCAGGCCCTGCTCTGTCCCATCCTTGTCTGTCTTTTGCCACAGTTTATCATCTCCTATCATCCACTTGTAAACTGCCTTCAGTATTTGGGATAAGGAGGGCAAAGCTTAATGACAGCTAAGGTCCTAATTTTTGTGAGTTTTCAATTTATATGGCCTGGGTTCTTAAAATAAACACATGGATTTTTTTTGTGTGGGTTTTTTTAACATTAGGTCCTATAAAAATTTGTTTTACAGTAGTATGCAACAGAAGAGACCATTTTAAAACAAATAGCCCAAACTGCTAAAAGAATTTTATTTCTTAAGAGTTTCTTTTATACAGTTTTGGCTTTAAAATATATTGAAAATAGATTTTCAGAGAAAAATCTAAATTTTTAGTAAGACTATTTTATGTAAATTTTTTACATTGGTCAAGTACATTATTTTTACTAAACAGCATAATTTCCCACTATATTCATGGTTAAGTATTAAAACTATTGTCAAGATTTTAAAAAAATAGCAAGAGGATTAAATCCTACTTTAGGATTCATTTAATTTCCTACTTTACAAACACCAGGTAAAGAAATCTACCAAGTTGCCAAAGAACACATCCCAAGCAGCAATCTCAGAAGATGATGAAGCACCTTACAGGACACTTGCACCCTGAAACAAGCGAGTGCCCAGAGAAATATTAATTCTTAAATGCTATACTACTGAAGGTTAAATATTTACATCATTCTAAAAACATTTTAAGTTGTATTATAGTGCTATAAATTCTTTTAAGGAAAAAAATAGATTGAGTTTCCCTGCAGTGTGGAAATAAGGTCTTGTCTTTAAAAATATCCATAGTGGTTGGGAGCAGTGGCTTGTGCTTGTAATCCCAGCACTTCGGGACGCTGAGGTGGGAGGATTGTTTGAGGCCAGGAGTTCAAGACTAGCATGGGCAGCATAGCAACACCCCGCTTCTATTAAAAAAAAAAAATTAGCCAAGTGTGGTGGTACACACTTGTAGTCCTAGCTGAGGCAGGAGGATTGTGTGAACCCAAGAGTCTGAGGCTGCATGAACTACTATAACTACCACTATACTCCAGCCTGGGTGACAGAGCAAGACTTCATCTAAAAAACAAATATATATATATATACACACACACATATATATACACACACATAGTTAACTAGTGGTTTGCTGATTTTTCCCTAAATTTTTAAATTCCAACAAAGCATTGCTTTGCAAAAGGTCCTTTAGTCCAAACTCAGTGTCTCTGTTTTGATCTCTTTGTAAAAGAACTCTCTGTTCATCCATTCTTTTCGCCTGAGAGCGTAGAATAAGGCTAAAAAAGTCTTCATCTGGTACTGTTGGACCCTTTGTGGCAGCAGGTGGCGGAGCACATCTTTGATCATCTAATCTGGATCCCTAAAAAAATTATGAGAAAGAGATTAAAATACAAATACTGCAGGGGAGGAAAGCACCAAGTTAAGTTATGTCTGTCAGTTATAACAAGAAATTGTAGTTGTAAACATTTTTTTTGCCTCTTCTCAGAAATCATACCTGAAATCTTGCAAAATTTTTTCTTTAAAATGACTTTTATAATTAAAATATAGTATTATGTAGAAGTATAGCTATAGCTTCATGGGTTTAGTTAAGTATATTGTCATCCTATTTTAATTAAAATTGGTCACATGGAATAATCTTAGGATGAATTAAAATACAAGGTCAATCGTATCCAAGTATGACAGTTCAAGGTTATAATCTTACCATAATAGGCATTAACAATATAACTTAATAAATCTTAAGAAATATAATGTTTTTGGGTTTGAGTCAGAGTCTTGCTCTGTTGCCCGGGCTAGAGTGCCGTGGCGTCAGCCTAGCTCACAGCAACCTCAAACTCTTGGGCTCAAGTGATCCTCCTGCCTCAGCCTCCCAAGTAGCTGGGACTACAGGCATGCGCCACTATGCCCGGCTAATTTTTTTCTATATGTTTTTGTCCAATTAATTTCTATTTTTAGTAGAGACAGGGTCTCGCTCTTGCTCAGGCTGGTCTCGAACTCCTGACCTTGAGCAATCCACCCGACTAGGCCTCCCAGAGTGCTAGAATTACAGGCAAAGCAATATATTAAAAAAATCTGAAGTACTACCTTAAAAAATCCTGTCTTAGGCCAGAGTGTCCCAAACTATAACCTAACGCCTGCTTTTGTAAATGAATTTTCATTTTCATTTCATCATCAAAACATTTGTTTATGTACTATGTCGCTGCTCTCCTACTACAACTGCAGAGTTGAACAGTTCAAACAGACCATATGGCCTGCAAAGCCTAAAATATTTTCTGTCTGGCCCTTTACAGAAAAAGTTTGCCTACCTGTCTTAGTTAAATCTTTAAATCTATTAAGGAAATAGCCTAGACTGAATTTTTCTTTCAAGTTCTAATCTTAAGATTCTTACATTAGAAGTGCATCAGAAATGTCATCAAATAAAAAATACTCTTAGAAGTCTACAGTATAGTTTCTGGTATTATATAGCTCAAGAATAAGAGTGGAAATGTGATAGCTGATACTTGAGTATCCACTACATTGCTAGGGACTATGCCTTAACTAACATCTAAACCCACAACCCTGTGAGGATGCAATTATTTACTGGCCTCCTAGTCAGTGCAATCTCCACCCTCTGCACATCTCTGGCTCACTCTTTATCATTTGTCCTGTCATAGTTGACCATTTCGATGTCCTGCAATTAACCCAACGGTTAAACACTTCAGTTCTAGACTTCCTCTGATTTAGTGTTCTCATCCTTCGTTTCTGCCTTACCCATTTGGCTCCCATGGTCATATGCCAGACTCTATCTTGCTTGGAGAAATGTCTACTCTGGTTCTTTGCTCATTTTTGAATCAGATTGATTTTTGTTGTTGAGTTTTAGGAGTTCTCTATATAGTGTGGATATTAATTCTTTATCAGATGTGATTTCAAAATATTTTCTGTGTGTTGCCTTTTTACTGTTGATAATGTCCTTTGATGTACAAGTTTTAAATTTTGATGACATTCAATTTGTCTATTTTTTGTTGTTCCCTGCTCCTTTGGTGTCATAACCAAGAAATCACTGCCAAACTCAGTGCTATGTCACTTTCCCTCTCCTGAGTTTTAGTTCTGATGCGTAGGTCTTTGATCTACTTTGAATTAGTTTTGTATAAGGTGTATGTGGTAAGGATCCAACTTCATTCTTTCTGAATATGGCTTCCTAGTTTTCCCAGGACCATTTGTTGATAAAACTGACCTTCCCCATGAATGGTCTTGGCATTATTGAAAATCATGTGACCATATATGCAAGGATTTATTCCTGGGTTCTCTATTCGATTACATTGGTCTATATGTCTGTCTTTACACCAGTTTTGATTAGTAGCTTTATAATAACTTTTGAAATCTGGAAGTGTGAGTCTTAAAATTTTGTTCTTCTTAAGATTGTTTTGGATACTTGGAGTCCTTTGAGATTCTTTATGAATTTTAAGATGGATTTTCTATTTCTGTGAGGGGAAAAATGCCTTTGGGAATCTTTATAAGGATTGTATTGAATCTGTAGATGACTTTGGGTAGTACTGAAATTTTAACAATATTAAGTCTTTAAATCTTGGGATGTAAATCATGAGATGAAATCTTTCCATTTGTTTTCCTTTATCTCTTTCGCCCCTTGTTAACTTAATTCCTATTTTAAATGGAATTTTTTTCTTAATTTCCTTTTCCAATTATTCATTGTTAGTGTATAAAAACACAACTGGTTTTTGTTTTGATTTTTTATCCTGCTACTTTGTTGAATTCGTTGATTACCTCTAACATTTTTTTGTGGAATCTTTAGAATTTTCTACATATCATATCACTTACAAACAGATGTTTTATTTCCTCTTTTCCAATTTGAATGCCTTTTTTCCCCCTTTCTTGCCTAATTGCTCTGGCTGGAACTTCCAGTATTATGTTGAATAGAAGTGGCAAAAGTATGCATTCTTGTTCCCAATCTTAGAGGAAAGCTTTCAGTCTTTCACCATTTAGTATGATGTTGGCTGTGCATTTTTCATATATGGCTTTTGTTACATTCTGGGAGTTTCCTACTGTTCCTACTAGAAGTGTTTTTATCATGAAAGCGTGTTGAATTTTGTCAGATGTTTTTTCTGTATCAGTTGGGATGATCATGTATTTTCCCCCCTTTTCTATTAATGTGGTGTTCCATTGATTTTCATATGCTGAATGCTCCTTGCATTCTAAGAATAAATCCCACTTAGTCATGGTGTAGAATCCTTCTGATGTGCTGCTGAATTTGGACTGTAGTATTTTGTTGATTATTTTTACAGCCATACTCATAAAGGATATTAGTATGTACTTTGAGTTAGGAAGTGTTCCCTCCTCTTCAATTTTTATAAGAGTTTGAGAAGTATTGGTATTCTTTAAATATTTGCTAGAATTCACCAGCTATTGGGTCCAAGGCTTTTCTTTATCAAGAATTTTTTGATTACTGATGCAATCTCTTTACTAGTTATGGGTATATTTTCTATTTCTTCATAGTACATTTTTTATTTCTGGTATATAATTTGAGTCTTTTCTCTTTGAAGAATGACTTTTGGCTTCATTAATTTTCTCCATTGTTTTCCTGTTCTCTGTTTTATTGATCTGTGCTTTAATCCTTATTATTTTTTTCCTTTTGGTAGTTTTGGGTTTCATTTTGTCTTTCTTTTACTAGTTCCTTAAGTTATAAAGTTAGGTTGACTTGTCATTTTTTTTTTTAAAGCAAGCATTTATAGGTATAAATTTCCCTCTTGACACTGCGTTCACTGTAAGTTTTAGTATGCCATGTTTTTGTTTTCATTTGTCTCTAAGTATTTTCTAATTTCCATTGTGATTTCTTCTTTGACTGATGGGGTTTAAGAGTTTTATCGTTTAATTGCCACAAACTTGTGAATTTTCCAGTCTTCCTTCTGTTATTTCTGCTCATTTCATCCCATGTGGTCAGAGAAGGTACTTCATATGATAATCTTTTTAAATCTGAGACTTAATCTGTGGCCTGACATATAGTCTTATCCTGAAAATGTTCCATGTGTACTTAAGAAAAATGAGCATGCTGTTGTTGGGTAGTGTGTTCTATATGTGCCTGTTAAATATAGTTGATTTATTGTGGTGTTTGAGTCCATATCTTCTGTCTGGTCCTATCCATTACTGAGCGTGAAATATTATATTCTCTAATAATTATTGTCAACTTTCCATTTTTCCCTCCAGTGTTGTGAATTTTTGCTTCATATATTTTGGTGGTTTGCTATTAGGTATGTATCTTTTTTTTTTTTTTTTTTTTATTGAGATAGAGTCTCGCTTTGTTGCCCAGGCTAGAGTGAGTGCCATGGCATCAGCCTAGCTCACGGCAACCTCAAACTCCTGGGCTCAAGCAATCCTCCTGCCTCAGCCTCCCAAGTAGCTGGGACTACAGGCATGCACCACCATGCTCGGCTAATTTTTTTTTTTATGTATATATATTAGTTGGCCAATTAATTTCTTTCTATTTTTACAGTAGAGACAGGGTCTCGCTCAGGCTGGTTTTGAACTCCTGACCTTGAGCAATCCGCCCGCCTCAGCCTCCCAGAGTGCTAGGATTACAGGTGTGAGCCACCGCGCCCGGCCAGGTATGTATCTTTAGTATTTCCTAATCCACTGGGACCACTACTACTATTTACTTTCATACCTTTTGTTTTCTTACTTCCCCTCTTAGAGCCTAGATTCCAAATTCCATTATTAAAATCACTTCCTGGCATATATCCCACATCCCATACTCCTAGAAAAATACCAGTTTGATTTAAATTCATCTTTCTGCCTCAAGCAGCTGGTTATGACAGGTCAGGCTGCAATGCCTGCAGAGCGAGTGTAGAGTCCCAGGCCTCTGACCTTTCCTATGTTGTGTATGTCTCCCTGCAGATCCCTTCCTTCCTGCCCCATGAATTGCCCCTTCCGTTTCACTCTGAAGTCCCCTGCGGCTTCTTTGGAGCTTTACAGTGTTCTTTCCAAGAGAACCCATCTGTAGATAGGCATCCACTTGCAACTTTCGATCCTCTCCTTCAGAGTGGCAGGTGTGGTTTGCTTCTAGTCCACCATCTGCCCTCACCGACAGTTACCTCTGAGTAGCTTCTAAACTTGTGTCATAGTTGACTTTGGCAACTTCTAATTCTGCAACTTCTTATGGCAGAAGGGCAGAGCCTGGGCAGCATCAGGAACCAGAAGCCATGAAGCACAGCTTCAGCAACAGGATCTGCTCTAGCTGGCACCTGCCTGTGGCCGTTGGAGTACGTAACTAGTAGATTTTGAAATGTTCAGAGCTTAGTCTCGGACCTATTTCTGTGCTACTCTTTAGATAATCTCTTCCCAGGGCTTTCATACCAACTATATACTGATGACTCTCAAAATTTACTTTATTCTTTGGGCCCTAGATTTTACATCAAATTGCCTATTCAACGTCTCTACTTCAGGATGGGTGTGGTGGCTCACACCTGTAATCTCAGCACTTTGAGAGGTCAAGGATGAAGGATCACTTGAGTCCAAGAGTTTGAGACCAGCCTGGACAACATAATGAGATGCCATCTCTACAAAAAAATTTAAAAATACCAGGGCCTGGTTGCAAGCACCTTTAGTCTTAGCTACTTGGGAGGCAGGAGGAGCACCTTGCTTGAGGCCAGGTGTTGGAGGCTGCAGTGAGCTGTGAAGGAAAACTCAACTTCATTGTTTAATTGAATATACCAAATTTAATACATCTAAAACACAACCCTTGCTTTTTCTTCTCAAACTTACTTCTCTGGTTATCTCCATTTCAGTAAATGGAACCATTCATTGCCCTAGTTATTCAAGCAAAAAAGGTGTAAGCCATCCCTATCTTTCCCTGATACCCTCCCTCTAATATGTAACTGATATAATAACATATTCCTATTCCAACTACTTACTACTACTACCCATACCCTAGTCCAAGTCTTTTTGTTTTGTTTTGTTTTTTTAAGGCATAAGATATTGTTCTGTTGCCCAGGTTAGAGTGCACTGGAGTGATCATAGCTCACTGTAACCTTTAACACCTGGCCTCAAGCAATCCTCCTGCCTCAGCCTCCTGAGTAGCTGGGACTACTGGTGTACACCACTATGCCCAGCTAGTTTTCTTATTTTTTGTAGACATAAGGTGTCAACTCTGTTGCTCAGGCTGGTCTCCAAGTGATCCTCCTACCTCAGCTTACCAAAGTGCTGGGATTACAGGCATGAGCCACCACATCCAGCCAAGTCACCAATATCTTTTGCCTACATTACACACCAACTTCCTAGCTAGTTTTTATAATAAATCCTTGCCACTCTACATTCTTCCATCAGTAGCCAGGATGATCTTTCACAGGGCCCTCTAGTATCTTCCTAACACATTTAGAACACAAGACTACATCATGGCCTACAAGATGATCTAGGCCCTGATTACTTCTCTGTCCTTTGTACTACTCTCCCCTTCCCCTTATTCATTCCATGCCAGTCACACTCGCCATTCCTTGAACCTGTTAAGCTTTTATATGCAAGAGGAGACTTGTCTCTGCATGGAAAGCTCTTTCCCTAAGTACTCACAGGGCTGTTTTACTTTATTCAGGTTTCTGTTCAAATGGTAATCCAGAAAGATCTTCTCCAACCACCCTAACTAAAACATATACTCCCCAAGCCACCACTACCCCTAGTTACCTACTACCTCTTCATCCTCTTCTAACTTTCTTCATAGCAAGTCTGACTACCTGACGTACGTACACACAACCTCTCTATATACACCTGTTCACTGTCTCTCCTACTGAAAGGAAGGATCTTTTAAAAAGCGAGTGTATCCTCAATGCCTAGAATAGTACTTGGAATGTAACCAGTGTTCAGTAATTTTTTTACTGAACGACAAATAGTAACTCCCTAATCCAAAATGAGGCCTTCCTGAATGAGAATCATAACACTGTCAATGCTCTCAATGGCATCTGAACTATATAAAGAATGAAAAAAATATGCAGACATACTTGACACTTTATAAGGATGTCAAAGAAGTCTTCATCAGGCTCTTTCTTGTCATTAGTCATTAGGTGGCTAAGTACTGACTGATTGTTGTTTTGTGTTAGACGAAGCCCTGGCAAATTATTGAAACTGGCCCTCTGGTCATCCAGACGGCGGCTCTGTGAGCTGGCAAGAAGATCTAAAAACTCATCCGTGTTGGGGGATACCACAGAAACAGATGGTGCTATGAAAAGAAGAAAAAACCCAAAATGTTACAAAAATATTCAAGCATATTTGTTATATACATATTCTTTTTGGCCTTGCCAGTGCCAGCAACCACCCTGCCCTCCTGCTTCAGGCTGTCACTGATGGGTTGTGGCTAGATGGATGTGGTTTTTATTGATAGGGAGAGAAGAATGAACCCCAGGGTACTTTTCAAATGACCCACTAGGAGGTTATTCAGATTTGAGTTCATTTCCCTTTATCTAATGCTCACCCAAAATGTAACTATAAGATATGGGGCTAGATTTCAGAAGGTGAATAAACTGTTTTTCTTTCATAATTTCTCAGACCAGGATGAATGTGACAGTGTTTTTTATTCCATGGACAAAAATCATTTAGTAAACTAAGAGTGGTGTTGCTGGCTAGTCTTGGTCTGTGGTACAAGAAGTCTTATAGTAGCTGAAATAGGAAAATTTAAGTAATCTATTTTAGACCTTTCTAACTCAGGCAGGCTTCAGCCTTAGCCATAAGTTTCCCTTCAGTCTGTCTTTGCTTTGCTTTTTTAATCCAGATATGGAGTATTTAAAGTCAGATTATTTATTTTTTAGACATGGGGTCTCACTGTGTTGCCCACACTCTGGAGCACAGTGGCTATTCACAATCACGATCGTAAGCACACTATAGCCTCAAACTCCTGGCCTCAAGCAGTGCTCTTGCCCCAGCCTCCCACATAGCTGAGATTACAGGCAACCACCACTACACCTGCCTCAAAGTCATATTTTTCCCAAACCCAAAGATACTACAGATATAGTTAGTAGGAATCACACTGGGCCAAAAATACAGACATACTTAAGGGAACTGGAAAAAACCTTGTTTTGAACTGTACAAATACCAGCATTTCAAATATACCTGGATTCAGGATCATTCACTGTATCTCCTACGATGGGAACTAAATAAAAGGATATCAAAGAGAAGACTTACTTTTTAGCATCATTTTGGGAGGAGTAGAAGAAGTTGCTGTTGAAGCTGTATGGCAGTTCTTTTCTTGTAAGTAACATCTCTGATCATCCATCCTATTGCTTTGAAATCGGCTTAACAGGTCAAAGAACCCTTCATCTCCAATAGTATCTGCACTGATTTTCTAAAATATTGAGAGAAAATCTAGTATACTTACATATTTCAGCATTATCCTTAGATCATTAAGAAACGTCATGATGTTCTCAAATGCAAAGGGTAAAGGATGAAGATTAAAAATAAAAATTGACCTTTGAAAAAGAAAATTCTTTTTCAAAAAGAATACAAGATGGCAATATTGGTAATAAAATGTTATTTCAATCCAACTAACAAAAAGCATTTCTAGTCATTTTAGTGGGTTTTTTTTTTTTAAAGCAAGTATAAGGTGAAATGTATCTAAGTAGGGAGCAAGATAGGATGATAGAGCAAGAGCAAGATACATATGCCACAGATAACGACCTAACCCCTTGTTATAGCAAAAGAGCTAGTTTAGTTTTTAATTCTTGTATTTCTAAGGCTAAAGAGACATACCTCAAACTTAGAATTGCTACAGATACTGAATAAACTACGCAAATATTGGTGATATAGGCCTGTACGTCAGGCTCAAAGTTTTGTTCTAAGAGTCTGCAACAGATTTTAAGCAAACTAATCTTTGTAAAAATTGTTAAAGTAAGAAAGTGTATTTTCCTAGCATAGTGATTTCCATGGTTGTCTTATTATTTTTAAAGCTTTGAAGACCCTGAAAAAATATAAACTTCAAATAAATGACTCTTTGTGGGGAGAAAGAGTCCCCACAAAGGGGACTTTGTGGGGAGAAGGCTTCAAAAGCAAAATGATGAACACAATATTTAATACAAGCAATTATTTTTAAGTGTTTCATTATGTTAAGTAATATTATTAGAGGCACATATGTAAAAAATGTTTTGGGCTTGAGTAGGGAGGGAATAACTAATTCTTAGGGGAAATAGGGAAAATCTCACAGGATGTGTTTGTGTTGGCTCTTTGAGTAGGCATTTGCAGGTTAGAGATGTTTCATGCTGATTAATATGCAATCCCAAAGGTCTATAGTATTCAGGGAATAATGAACTGAAGCTCAGGGATAGAGAGAAGAAACCACCAAAATAAGGGCACCTTTGTATGCAGTACTAACAAGCATAGACTTTATCCTATGTGAAATAAGAGGAGCACTGGCAATAGTTTATTTTAAGCAATTTTGTATAGACTCTTGCCCATCTAGTGGATTGGAGGGGTAAGAATGAAGGCAGGGAGATCAGTTCAGATGCTTATTCTAAACGTCTGGGTAAGAGATTAGTAGTAGAATAAGACATGACAGCAGAGATTTAAAAGCGGGGAGGGGTGTGGGAGCAAATCTGAGGGACACAGTGATTGGATACAGTTAGTGAGAGGGAATCTAGAATGACACCCAAGTTTCTAGTTTGGGGTCAGAGTACATGGCATTCCTTTAACTGGGAGAGGAAAACAGAAGTGGTTGAGAGAGTACAGTTTTTAATATGTTGAATTTTAGGTTTGGGAAGCTACAGTCAAATGCATTAATCACCCACAAAAGACTTTTTCACAGGGGCAAAAAAGCCTGCAATTCAAAATTCTGAACATTGAAACAGTATGGCTCCAAAAATATGGACATTTGCAGGTGAGCTAAGTAAGCTTAGTTAAGACCCCAAACCTTGAACAAAGGTATGCCTTTCTTGAATTCCAGTTCTGCTCTGTATCTACAAAAATATTCCTAAACCATTTAGATATATCCCACAGTTTTCCCTTTTGTTAGTCATATATAGCCCAGAAAAGCTGCATAAGAAACCACTGATTAAAATTGAGGCAAAAGATGCTACAAAGGTGTAGATATAAATGGAATGATGACAACAGAAGTCTTTTTTGAGACAGGGTCTTGCTCTATTCCCTGGGCTAGAGAGCAGTGACATCATCATCTCAGCTCACTGCAACCTCCAACTTCCTGACTCAATCAATCCTTCTCCCTCAGCCTCCCAAGTAAGCTGGGACTACAGGCATGTGCCACCATGCCCAACTAATTTTTTCTATATATTTTTAGTTATCCAGCTAGTTTTTTCTAGTTTTTGTAGAGACGGGGTCTTGCTCTTGCTCAGGCTGGTCATGAACTCCTGAGCTCAAATGATCCACCTGCCTTGGCTCTCCCAGAGTGCTAGGATTACAGGCGTGAGCCACCACACCCAGCCCTAAGTTAGTATTTAAAAACCTTTGAACATCTGAATTTAATTTGTTCTGATTTCTAAGCTGAGTGGAAGGAGACACTGCAGGGAAATAACTGGTAGTACTTTTGAAAACAATAGTGACTCAAATAATTACTGACCAACACAAGGGAGCAATTTATGAATGGAGTAATTGTTTCTATAATAGTTTTGAAGAAGATAGAAAAGACAGGGAAATATGGACAAGTTCTTTGAATAACAAAGATATTTTATATTAAATGTCTAATTTCAGTTACCAAAAATTCTGTATTAATACAAGAAAACCAAAATGTAGGTACTCAAAACACAATGCTCAGCCGGGCGCTGTGGCTCACGCCTGTAATCCTAGCTCTTGGGAGGCCGAGGCGGGCGGATTGCTCAAGGTCAGGAGTTCAAAACCAGCCTGAGCAAGAGCGAGACCCCGTCTCTACTATAAATAGAAAGAAATTAATTGGCCAACTGATATATATATAAAAAAATTAGCTGGGCATGGTGGCGCATGCCTGTAGTCCCAGCTACTCGGGAGGCTGAGGCAGGAGGATCGCTTGAGCCCAGGAGTTTGAGGTTGCTGTGAGCTAGGCTGACGCCACGGCACTCACTCTAGCCTGGACAACAAAGTGAGACTCTGTCTCAAAAAAAAAAAAAAACACAATGCTCAATATTTATTTTAAACATACCCTCTGAGAATTTGGAATTCGGTGGTCAATAGAATTACTGGCATCTTGGAGAACTTTAGTGGAGGAATTAGCTTTGTATTTTTTCCCCTTCAGTCTGTTGACAAAGAGTAGCTTTGCAGAAGGTTTGGCAATAAGAGGTTTTTGTTTAGCAAGAATTTCACTGTTCCAGTTCTGTACCTACAAAATAATAAATGGAAAGGTAAAAAAAAAAACAAAACCCAGCTCTCTTCTGGTTTCCCATAATATTAACCTAATATCTTCACTCATTTACTATTGAGAGAGTTTTAGATCTCTTAATAAATCCCTTTTTTCAGTATATTGCACTATTTTCAAGAGCTTGTACTAAATGCATACTGTGGATTTCTCATTATCAAAACATTAAAATGGTGGTCTTTAAGAACCTGAGAATAAGAAAACAAGGTTTGCCAAAACTCTGTAAAAATAAAATTTGAATGGTCAGAGAAGGAGCCAAAGATTTGTTGTGGATGGATATGAGTTACTTAAAAATCTGTTATGGCTGATAAAAACTGTACTGTTTTCACTAATACCACACTAAATTCTCAATAGGCAAACCCATGACAACCTATAAATAACAGACTCAAAATAACAAATATTTATTGAGCACAAAGGAAAAATACACAGTATTTATAATAGCTCTGTGACATTGGCAGCTTTAACTTTCAGTCTTAAATGTTTGCAAATAACTCTAAAGGTTCATGCTACATAATGATAGTTTTAGTGAGATATCTTTTTTTCATAGATAAAATTCACATACAATCAAATGCCAGACTTTCAGTATATGGTTGGAAGCCACATAATCCCTATTCCAATCAATATAAAAAAACATTTCCTTTTCTGCCATTAATTTACAATGATAAGAAAACAAACAAACAAAAAAACATTTCCATCAAGCCAGAAAAGTCCCTCTTGAGGCACAAATTGGAATAATCCCAGCCCTCAGGCTAATGTACAGGGGAGTGAGACGTGTAGCTAGTAAGTGAACAAAGCTATCTATTCCTTTTCACCCATAGGTTATAAAATAAAATTATTTGCTAGTGTGGATTTTGTGGTCTACTCTTTAGAGAAAAAGAAAATGGCCTTTGATGTGAGAACATAAAACTGCACCTAAAACCCAAGCAGAAATGAGAACAATTAAAAACATTTCCTATATAGTTATTTGAACTTCTCAACAACACTGAAAACAAGGCACAGAGTGGAGCAATGTCTTAAAAATTATGAAACAGAATTATTTTCAACCAAGAATTCTACAGTCAACAAAATGACCAATGAATTACAAGAGTAGGAAAAACATTTTCAGATATCCAAGTTCAGGCATCCAAGTCTCAAAAGTTCCCTCCCACTGCACTCTCTCTCCCAGGAAGCATCTTAGCATCTTAACACAGAAGTCTCCCTTTTTCCTTGTGTTTACTTCTTTACTTTGTTGACAAGAATAGTGAAATAATGAATTCTCTGGGCAACTTTATTACTAATATAAGGAAAAGAAACACAAAAAACTAACTCCACTCAAACATTTTAAATTAGATAAATTTTTATCATCACTTGGTTCTTAGAGAATTACAAGGTTGAATCTGGTGAGCTTCTTATAGAACTTACTGTTAGTACCACTATAGAGGTAGGCAGAAAATAGCAAATTAAGCTTGCTACTTAGGAGTTGTTCCTATAAGAAGAAAAAAAGAACTGAAATTACCTTAAAAAGCTTTTTTAAAAAAATAATTTGTGGATTTAACAGACTTATATTTGAGAACCACTGGCAAGATCAGAGCTGGATATTTTGGGGAAATCACAAAGTCCTTTAGAAGTTACCAGAGTTTTTAAACAACTCTGAATTATGGTATCTTGGATATGAGTCCAAGACAATTAGATGTTGGTCTTTTGAAGACTATTCACACTAAAAGTGTCACTCTTCAAAAGTCATAAGTTATTTGACAGGGCAGAAGAATATGAAAAGGTATAATAATGATAGGGCAAAAGAACATGGGAAGATTTTCTTGATATATTCCTACATATATATTATCTATAACATTGGTATGAAAATGCCAGAGAATAAATGCCAAAATATTAATTGTAGTTACCATCAGGAGGTAGGGTTACGATTATTTTAATTTCCTTGCTGGAATTTTCTACAGTTGCTATAATGAACATGTTTTATAAAAAGTACTTTTAAAAATACACCACAAAAGACTGACGGACTATTTTAACAATGTAAAATTAAGTTAAATGGAGGTAGAAAAAAGTAGCTTTGATTTGTTCTTCAGAAATTTTTTTCCAGTTATAAAGTCCCTACTCTGTTACTCTCATTCCCCTAAAAAAAAGCATGCTTCTTGAATGCAAGGTACTTTGTCAGTTAAAAATATATCCTTTTCTAAAATGTAGCTAGAAAAACAACTTTCCTCTTAATCATAAATTTCATTAATCTTGGCAAAAATGTTGCTATGTAGTTGAAAAAAAAAGGTTCCTGTCCCTTTTTTGATCTAATTTTAATTTTAATAAAACATAATACATTTACATGGGAAAATATTCAAACAGTTTAAACTGGTATATAAAGTATTTCTAGCCTAACTCAGACAGCCAGTCCTCTTCCCAGAAGCAATAACTGTTAGCAAGTTTCCTACATATTCTCCCCAGAAATGTTTTATGAATCTACAAAGGATATATACATAGGTATCTTTCTTAAAAAAATGGCAGCATACGCTACACATTCTTTTTCATTGCACTTTTTCTGACTCTTTTTAAAGGCAAATTTTTAAGTTATACCCATATAGGAAAAGACTCATTTAAATTATTTCATTTAAATTAAATATTACTATAATGTTTTAACAGTTCATGAAATTTAAAACAAAAACTGCCAACCTTTTCTGGTGTTAATTTCATAAGTTCCATATTTTCCATACTGTGTCGGCGTCCCAACTTGGGGCGTGCACCTTTGTAATAAAAAATTCAAATAAACCAGAGAGCCCTTAAGAGTACAAATTTAGCATCAATACATTATTCAATTCTAAAGCCTGACAAACAAACCCTATTAAAGGAGGAAACATGTACAAACATTTATTCTTTTAAAAATAACAATTTTCCATATCAGCTACATAAAAGTAGAATACACTCCCTTTAAAATGCTTTGATGTAAGGAAGTTACATTTTGACTGGAAACTAACACTGGTTTCTAACATCACCCCTTAATTTAGAAAAGGCATTTTAAATTAACTGGTTTTATACTATCCACACAGTCTCAAAAAACCCCAAACAAACTGTACAGTGGTTTACACAAGTAAAAACATAAGGAAAAGGCCTTTAACTTTGAGAAAAGACTCAAAATAGCATCCTCAGTACTATATTGTTACTACTTTCTAAGTTACCCCTTTCTGTTTTAAGATCTCATTAGATGATTTACTACTGGTCAGGAAACAAGTTAAATAAAAAGGTCCTCAATTTTTTCAATAAAGTTATGAAATATAGATAATTTCCATATCCATTTAATCTTTTAAAAAATTAAGCAATATTTTTGGCCAGACACGATGGCTCATGCCTATAATACTAGTACTCTGGGGGGCTGAGGTAGGAGGATCGCTAGAGCTCAGGGGTTCAAGACCAACCTAAGCAAGAGTAAGACCCCATCTCTACTAAAAACAGAAAAACCAGCTGGATGTGGTGGCTTATGCCTATAGTCCTGGCTACTTGGGAGGCTGAGGCAGGAGGATCATTTGGACCCAGGAGTTTGAGGTTGGGGTGAGCTATGATGATGCTACTGCACTCTTGCCAGGGCAACAGAGTAAGACTGGGGGAAGCAGTATTTTTCAAGGCATAATGTAAGAAATACCTGATACATAATACCCAGCTTACAGCATAAAACATTACCAACGTATTAAAATTCCCCTTATATAATTCCCTTCATAACTTCTATCTTCCTCCCTGTACTTTTATATATTTACATTACATATGTATCTCTAAGCAACAAAGCATATTTGCATGTTTTGAAACATTTATAAATGGTATCATACTGTATATATTCTGCAACTTGCTTTGAACAACCTTGTGTTTGTAAGATTCATCCAAGTTGACATGTGTGGTTTAATTTATTTTCATTGCCATTTTAGGACTAGGAAATTATTCATTTAACTAGTGACAAATATTTAGGTTGCTTCCAACTTTTTCCTATTATAAGCAATACTAGAGAAATTCTTGGAAACGTCTCAGTGTACATGAGCAAGCATTTCTTACAGCTTGGATAGCAGAGGTAAATAACTGGTAGTGGAAATGCTGGATCATACAGTTGTCATATCTTCATCTTCACCAGAATGTTGCCAGATTGGTCTTCAGAGTATACCAATTTCTATACCATCAACACTGCACAGAGTTTCTGTTACCCTACATCATTTCAATATTGGTATTGGACTTTTAAATTTTTGTCCACCTTATAGGTTTTCAACAGTACTTCACTGTGGTTTTTGCTCATGAAGTTCAGTATCTTTTATATATTTATAGACTATTTTGGTACTGTTCATTTTTGCCCATTTTTAACTCATATTCTTATACATTTTGCATACAAATCTTTTTTTAATCATATGTGTGGCAAATATTTTCTTTTTTGGTTTTTTTAAATCTCTTCTTGGTTTCTTTTAATGAAATTAAGGTTTTAATTTCAATGTCAATCTTTAATGGTTTTGTTTTTTATGTCTTGAGAAATCCTCCTCTCTAAAATCAAGAAGATATTCTCCTATATTCTCTGAGGTAGGACAACACACTGATTATGGACTTCAAAGACAAACTAATTCACCTATGATATGACCTTGGGCAATTACCTCTCTGTGATTCAATTTTCTTACTTGTAAAGGACAACAATATCAACCTCATATGATAACTGCATCTTTACCTATACAGGGTTAGTACAATGCCTGGTAAGTATAATGGTAAGCATTCACCAACTGTTAGCCAGCATCATCATCATTGCTTTAAGTCTTTCATATTTAAATCCTCAATCCATCAAGAAATCATTTTTATGTGAGATATTAGTTTCTATATGTGCTGTATATTCCACTCTATTGGTCTATTTGTCTGTCTTTATGCCAATAGCACACTTATTATAAAAAGCATTTTGATTTCTTGTTCTTCATCAGAAACATTTTGGCTGTTCTCAGACCTTTTTTCTCTTACATAAATTTGTGAATGACCTTGAGAAGTTCCTCAGAAGTGTCATTTGTTTGGCAATGTGTTGAATTTACATCAATTTGGGGAGAACTTTTTTTTTTTTCTGAGACAGTCTCACTTTGTTGTCCAGGCTAGAGTGAGTGCTGTGGCATCAGCTTAGATCACAGCAACCTCAAACTCCTGGGCTCAAGCGATCCTGCTGCCTCAGCCTCCAGAGTAGCTGGGACTACAGGCATGCACCACCATGCCCTGCTAATTTTTTCTATATCTATTAGTTGGCCAATTAATTTCTTTTTTTATTTATAGTAGAGACAGGGTCTCACTCTTGCTCAGGCTGGTTTCAAACTCCTGACCTTGAGCAATCCGCCCACCTCGCCTCCCAGAGTGCTAGGATTACAGGCATGAGCCACCTCGCCCGACCTTATACTGTTCTTATCTAGTTTGGATATCAAGGTTATAGGTTCTCAGAAAGACTGATAAAGTGTTTCCACTTTCTCAGTTAGCTATAAAATTTTAGGTAAGGTGTTGTAATAAGTTTTCTTGAATGGTTGGTACATCTCACTTGTAAAAACCATCTGAGCCAGGTACTTTCCTAGTGCAAAGATTTTAAATTACTAATCTAACTTCTTTATGGTTTTAGGCATTAGTATACTATTCATATTACATTCGAACACTGGATTTTTCTATTTTTTATTCATTCAGTTTCAGAAAGTTGTTTTTCTTGAAATTTTCCATTTCTCCTAGGTTATCTAATATTTTACCACAAAATCATTCAGAATCTCTTCTTTTTACACTCGATCTTAGCCAAAAGGCCAAGAAGCAATAAAATCTTTTATCTTTTTAATCTCTGCATCTATATTATGTCCGTTTCTCTCTTATTTTGAACAGTCCTGCTGTAGATTTGTTAGTCTTTTTAAATAACCAAATTTTGTCTTTAAAAAATCCTCTCTATTGAATCTTTGTTTTAATTATACTAAATTCTGCTCTTTATTATTGCTTGCCTTCTACTTTTAGTTTATTCTACTTTTTTGGAGGAGTTAATTGGCTTTAGGAAATATTTCTGAGAAAATCAAGCAAGCAGACATCTAAAAACTAATCAATGCATTTGGTAAAATGGAGGTTTGTGGTAACCCTGAAAAGTGGTTTCAGTATCTTGGTGAGGGCAGTGCCCTACGGGAGTGGTTTGAGGAAAGAATAGAAGATGAAGAGGTAAAGACAATGAACACTGATATCTTTTCAAGTTTTGTTATAAAAGGGAACAAAGGAAAAAGTCTATAGCTAGAGGTGTCCAGGAGGACAAGTGACAGTTTTTTTTAAAACATGAGAGCTCTTACAGCACAACCTTTTTGAAATTTCAACATGGAAATCTTTTTAGCCCATCATTCAGTTGCAAAGTACACAGTCACAATTTATTATACAGCTCACACTTAAGAATTTTTCACTAAATGTTCCTGGAAGGTCTTAATCAGATGATTGGCCACTAATTTCTTTTCCTTCTTCCTTTTTTTCATATGGGTTTAGAGAAGGAAATTGGAAAGAGAAAGTTAGATTGATCACTGACGTTCAAATTCTAAATATTTATCTGTCGGTAATTTTTTTCAGACTGAGAATTTCTCAAGCTTAGGAAACGGAGGGATCTCACATAGGGCCACATATAGATGAAATTCAAAACTGTGATTGAACTTCCTATGTTATATATTCTCTGTGGAGATGGTAAACGTGTGATAAATAATTTAAATGCAAATGTTGAGGGTAAAGAAATTGGGTTTTAGAAGACCTATTACTTACCATGTAAAGTGTCATCAATTTCAATATTTTCAGACATTATGGAATTATTTGTGCTGTAGCTCAGACCAAGAACCATTTGAAGATCTGAGAGATTTAGTCGTGCTGTTAGTTCACCACTTCTATCTCCAACCTACAACCACAAGCATTTATATTTTAGTAGTATATATTTAGTAGTATTTAAAAACAAAGAATAGTGAAAATTAGGTGAAAATGGGACCCTAAAACTGGAAAAAAAATAGAGAAATGAAAATAATTGTATTAGAATTATGAGACTGTGAATGGATGAAATGAGTTTTTTCAAAGAATGCAGAAAGAAAAAGGAAGTTTCTAAAATATCATAATAGGATAGCTAATTATACCTTATTCTTTAGTTCTCTAAACATTAGATTGCTCTTATTTTCTGAGATCACATTAATAATGTAGGTTACTCTGTAACACATTAACTTGGCACCACATGAATAAAATTTCCATAGAAGATTTTATTTCCATATTATAATAATAGTTAATCACAATAGCAGCCACCACCAGACATTATGCTAGGCACTTATATACATTATCTCTAATCTTTATAATTTGCAAGGTAAATATTATTATTCCCATTTGCAGATGAGGGAAATGAGACTCAGAAAAGGTTTCCAAACCCAAATAACAAGTGGCAAAACTATAACAGAAACCAGTCTTTTATTCTAAAAACCATGTTTTTCCTTTAGTACCATACTACTACTCCATGTAGAGATGGGGGTGGAATAGGGGCATATTTTAGTAATCTCCTTCCATTCCACCATGCCCACCCTTACCTTCCTGTCTTCCTACATCAAGGCAAAGACTAAAATAACTGTGATCTATATCTCAAAATGCTTTGTGGAGTTCTTATGCCAAGAGATATATAATCAGGCCAGGCTCAGTGGCTCACGCCTGTATCCTAGCACTCTGGGAGGCCAAGTCGGGCAGATTGCTTGAGGTCAGGAGTTTGAAACTAGCCAGAGCAAGAGTGAGACCCCGTCTCTACTATAAATAGAAATTAATTGGTTAACTAATATATATAGAAAAAATTAGCTGGGCATAGTGGCACATGCCTGTAGTCCCAGCTACTCAGGAGGCTGAGGCAGTAGGATTGCTTGAGCCCAGGAGTTTGAGGTTGCTGTGAGCTAGGCTGATGCCACAGCACTCACTCTAGCCTGGGCAACAAAACAAGTCTCAAAAAAAAAAAAAATAAAATAAAAAAAAAAGAGATATACAATTAAATTTATTTTTCAGCCATGTGAACAATCAGGAGAAATAACAGGGTTACCTCCCCATACCACTGATTTGTAAATTATAATAGCACAGATAGCAATTTTTTTTAGTTTCATACCTCTCTTGAAATTTCCAGGTGCTTTTCAGCAAAATGCATTGCTTGGTCATGATTTCCTAGAGCTGTGTATGCATTTCCTAAGCTCCAGCATGCTCTTCCTTCACCAATTCTGAAACATAATTCAAAGTTAACATGCAGTTATCTGAAAAGAGGTCTGTGTATAGAATAAAAGCTGTGTGGCAGTAATTAAAGGTATAAACAATGCTTTGTATTTATTTGGGCTTTTGTATGAAGAACATACTATCATGTTACTAGAGACAGAATACTAAACTGAGAGTCAAGTATTAAAACATGAAAAACGGGCTGGGCGTGATGGCTCACATCTATAATCCTAGCACTCTGGGAGGCCGAGGAAGGTCCTCGGCTCAAGGTCAGGAGTTCAAAACCAGCCTTAGCAAGATCGAGACCCCGTCTCTACTAAAAATAGAAAGAATTAATTGGCCAACTAAAAATATATAAAAAAAATTATCCAGGCATGGTGGCACATGCCTGTAGTTCCAGCTACTCAGGAGGCTGAGGCAGGAGGATTGCTTGAGCCCAGGAGTTTGAGGTTGCTGTGAGCTAGGCTGATGCCACGGCGCTCTAGCCCAGGCAACAAAGTGAGACTCTGTCTCAAAAAAAAAACCATGAAAAACATTCTAAAATATGTAATGAATTATAAAATAATAAAATCATCTCAGGAATAGGTCTTCTAATCCAACTACCCCATTTTCTTTCCCTGACAGCCTTACCAATTCAACTAATCATTTAGTGTGTATTTGAACAGCAAGAAGGGAGAACTCACTACCTCTTGAGGTAGTATACTTCATTTTGAACAACTATATCAAAAAGTTCTTTCTCATAGTGAGGTAAAAAAAATCTACCTTCTAAAGCAAACATCATGGACTAAAGGCTGGCAAAGATATGTTGTTTTTCGTACAGTAAAACAAAATAACTGAATTAGCCACCAACATTTAAAAATCAGAATATTTCATATAAAACTCAGTACTTCCATCTTCTCTAGAATAAACAGGAGGATACAGACATAATGGACTCTCTTTCCTGCCTGGAGACGATTATCTGGAGTTGGGTAGCAGTTGCCCTCTTTACACTGGTTATTATCTCTAAGTTCACCACAATTCCCATAGTGATGTATTCAGGTGGACTTCTGTAGATGCAGTTGAGTTTGTGACCTAGTCATTAATCTCGGTTCAAAGGCATGTGGAACCAGACTAATCTTCTATCACAAGCTAGCCCTTCAGAAAATAACATACAAAGGATTTACTGAAACAGGTAATTCAATTCCTTAGAAAGGATTTAAAAAGGAAAAAAGGAAACAAAAGGAAGACAAAGTTCTAGAGATTCAATAGTGTATCTGTATTTTACCTTAGCTATAGTAAAAGGATATATAACTTACCTATCATTTAGCTCTTGAGCAATTGCTAAGTGTTTCAAATGATAATCGATGGCCTTTTCATAGTCTTGAAGTAAAGTGTATGTGTTTCCAAGACTGTAACAAGACTGTGCTTCTACAGCTCTGTCTTTAAGCTGTCGAGCCAATAGTAGTGTCTTCCTAGGAGAAGAAAATAATTTTTATCTAATAATCACTTTTAGTTTGGGCTATAATAAAACTTTCACTTTTCCTCTCTGCTGCTTTCTGCTCCCTCTAAATTGGTTTTAGAGCCTATTATCCCATACTTTCTCCATTACTTTTAGACAAAATGAAAAGATGTTTTTGAAACAAAAAAAGCAGATTTAAACTTTTAGAATAAATTTGAGAGTCCTAACAATTAACCAAAATAAAGGAATACTGAAACATGAGATTAAATGTTTCTAACAATTGACATAATATTTTGAATATTTAAAAAAACTTTCAGGCCGGGCGCTGTGGCTCACGCCTGTAATCCTAGCTCTTGGGAGGCCGAGGCGGGCGGATTGCTCAAGGTCAGGAGTTCAAAACCAGCCTGAGCAAGAGCGAGACCCCGTCTCTACTATAAATAGAAAGAAATTAATTGGCCAACTGATATATATATAAAAAAAAAATTAGCCGGGCATGGTGGTGCATGCCTGTAGTCCCAGCTACCCGGGAGGCTGAGGCAGAAGGATCACTTGAGCCCAGGAGTTTGAGGTTGCTGTGAGCTAGGCTGACGCCACGGCACTCACTCTAGCCTGGGCAACAAAGCGAGACTCTGTCTCAAAAAAAAAAAAAAAAAAAAAAAACTTTCCCTGTTGTATTGGCAATAATTCAAAGGTTTTGTCCACACATCTGTTTTCAGTCATACTGTTTTACATTTTGTTAAAGTATAAAATACTTAGGTAAAATTCTTATGTATAGGCCATCAGTCACTGATTCATGAAAGATACTGAATACTACACTTTAACATTACTCAAATTCTATCTAACACTTGTGCTATTGTCAGTGAGAAGCTAGTGTAGCAGTTAAGAGCATGAATCCTGGAGCTAGACTGTCTGGGTTCAAATTCCAACTTTGCTAAATACTATTTATGTAAAATGGGGGAAATAGCTCACAGGATTTTTGTAAGGATTGGCAGAGTAGATGCTACATAAATGTCAATGCAATTGTGTTAATATTACCAGTGCTTAAACCTACAGATGATTTTGGATCCAAGAATTTAAATGACTCTCATAATTTCTGCCAAATAATAAAATTATTTCATATTATTTTACAACTATATAAAAATGACTACATGGTAATGTGATAGATTTTTTTTTAAGCAAACAAATCTGAAGTTATATATTTAATGATGATAACTTCAAAGCTGTCACCTTGGGAGGCTGCTCACTTATTTTATTCCAATGTTGCCTGTCCTTGCAAACAATTTTGAAAGACTTTTAGAATTGCCTTCAGATCCAATGGTACAGCCCTTTATGGCACACCATTATTCTTTGGTTTGTAAATGATCAGAAATCATTTGGAGCCAAATTCAATTACTAAAGTAGATTTACCAACTACTGCTTTGTATCCTGAAGGATATGGATCTATATCAGGTTAGCTTTCTTTTCTGTCCCTGAAAACAATTCCAAAGGAGAGCTCCAAAAATATCTCTAACCCATAATTTAGAATATATGTAAAGCTCTGAGTTCTAGTCTGCTTATTGGGGGGAAAAAAGTAATTTTATTACTCTATAATCATGCTTCTGTAGCCAGATAGCCACCATCCGCCTTATAACAAAACTTTAAGTTTTTAATACAGGTACACCATTTAATAAAGACTTTTCTATATCCTTTAGCTTTAAAATATAAGAGACTTTTATATTTAAAATCAAACTATATACTTTTCACATAGTGATATATTTAATGTGTGAGGATATTTCATATCTAACCAACTGACAAATGCTAACCATTAATCAATGTTTAAAGCAAGGTAGGATGCCATTCAATTTTTCAAATGGACCTAAAACAATTTTACATTTTCTTAAGATGTCAGACTATCCAGAACTCTTTCATTTTTGAGTCTTTAATAATAAATTACAAATCAGTCACTGTGTCTTTGGTTTAGTCAAATGCTTCAGCCTGAGGTCTACTGGGCCTTCAATCCCCACTAACTAGGGAAAACTCTGAACAAACTAGAAAGAATAGACCAGGCAACCTGAAGCAGTCTAAACTTTGCTATCATCTATGTTTCAAACCTACTGATAGGTTAGAAATATCCTGCCACAGTAGAAGCTTGGATTGCCAACTCCTCAGGTAAATGAATGGTGTCTCAGCTCATAGTGATAGTCAAAGCTGGGCAGAAAGAAGGTGAGAGGAGAATTGCTCAGTAAGAGGGTGGGATGGTAGGGAAAAAATGCAGCAATCACTGGTAGAGACTATAAATATTTTTGTTACCAGGCTTTCTTTTGGCCTCTCTTCTAACCCATAATTGGGGAAATTAGACACATACACATAAGCACCACACATGCTAAAACAGATTTAAAACAATTTCATTTAAACACAATTTAAAATTTAAAAACAGTTTTAAAGATAAAAACTAATAAAAATAGAAAGGGGCCACACTACTGCTACTAAATCTTAGGTACAATAATATTTATTGAGCACTGTGTGTTAGGTACTGTGCTAAGTGCTTAATATTAACTATACTCTTTCATTCAATCCTCACAAGAATCCGAAAAAGATATTGATACCTTCCGTTACAGATGAGGAAGCAGGCTTAGAAGCCCATGGTCCTACCACTAGTATGCAACAACCAGGTTTTAAACCCAAAGCCTATGATTTAAGGTGATTACATAACTACTCATTTTATAATTATCTACAAAAAATATTAGACTAACTTGTAGTATTCAGAGGCAGTTTCAAATTCACCAAGAAATATATATGCATTTCCAAGGTTGCTATATGCTCTTCTTTCAGCTGCTTTATCTCCAAATTCTTTTGCAATAAGGAGACGCTGAAACAGAAAATTATAATTAGATGCAGCTAAATAAAACTGAAGAATGACCTAATTACTGTTCAGTACTTTGATGGAGGAAATGATCTGGCTCCAAGGCCTTCCACTGTACCTGCTCATGTGCTATCACTGCATCCCTGAAGTTTCCAAGGAGGTAATGTGTGTTTCCAAGATTTCCAAAGGCACGTCCTTGGGCTGCTCGGTCACCTAAAGCAGTCACTAATGATAGGTTTTCCCTAAGTGGTAACAAAAAGTGATTTTAAAAAAAAAAAGTTGGGAAAATATTTTTATTTATTTGATTTACAGATCTAATTCTTTTTATCAGAAAAAAAAATTTCAGTGAGCTTACAGTCATAATGTGCAACATATTAAAGATACACCTATGATGAAAGGCAATTATAGGAAATAGGGGGCAACACTTTATTGAACCATTCAGATAAGGTTTCTGCAAAGAGTGAAGGACAGAGTTAACCTGGGAACCCCCATAGCTGAGAAGTTCTATGAAATTCTATGGGTAAAATACTAGATTTACTCTGAATAACTTACAATTGATGTTTCTTGTTTTTGCCACTAAGTGGCACTGGTCTGCAGTTTAAATGAAAGCTGCAGATTACTACTAATACAACACCATAATATTTAAGCAACTGAACTGCTGGTTTATTTTGCTAATGCATAATTTAAAAACCTTCTCCAAACTTAAAAACTTACTACTGGATAAAGAATGTATAGTAGATCCACAGCTTAGCTGGGCCCAAACGACTTTGTCAGCCCCTACTCACTCATAAAAATCCACAGCTGCCTGCAGAGCATTTCTCATTTCTTCTGGAAATTCTCCTCCATCTTGGGGACCAGGGCAGCCAAAACTTTTCCCTTTGGCATGATATACATTTCCAAGATTGTAAAGTGCTCTTGCTTCTCCCACCTAGATAAAGATACAGCAAAGTTTACATTTTGAAATCAGATGCCAGGTAATTATAATGCTTATCACATATATTTGTAATATCCTTAATATTATGGTCAAAGGAAAGAAATTTTTATATTGGCTATTCATATAGAACCAAAGAAATGCTTACTTATGAAAGAAGGACCTTTCGCTATTTCTTTTTTCCTCTATTTTAAAATTTTTATTCTTTTCTTTTAATTCCATTTGTTTATGAATACTTTCTTTTTGGTATTAACTTTTAGATAAACTACAGAATAATTAAATAGTATTAAAATACAAAGCACTTTCAATGAAAACATTTGGCATACTATTTAATGTTTCCATATTACCTTGTCATTAAGCTCTCTGGAAATATCTAGGTGTCGTTGACAACAGACAATAGCTTCATCAAAATTCCCAAGAACTTTTAAGGTGTTTCCCAGATTACCACTAGCTTTGGCTTCCCCCAACTGGTCTCCAATAGTCCTGGGGGAAAAAAAGCAAATGGTGTTAATTAAAATATAAAGCAGCCAGAGTACAGTTTTCCTAGAGGACAAACTGGCATGCTCAAAGTTAAGAAAGACCCATTAAGCCTTGAAACTTGCTTTAAATACAAACTTAAAACTTACATTTCTGTCTTTAATTAGTTTTCATCCATTTAATTAAACTCCAGGGCCATTTCACTACTTTCAATTAAACTCCATATTCAGCCTAAAGATTAGTTTTAAAAAGTGATACTGTTGAACTAGAACATATCAAATATATTAAGCTAGTTGTTTCTAATTGAATAGAAATACTTTTTAAAGTAACAGCTAATTTAGGGAGAAAGATTATTAAAAAGCTTAAATTAATTACCTTGCAAGAGTTAAATCATGATGGTGGTATTCTAATGCTTTGGCATAATCATGCAAGTAGAAATAAGCATTTCCCAACTGGCTGTAAATAGCGCTAAGTGTTTTTAGGTCTTCAGTTCCAACTTGAACTGCAGCTTCAAAGAATGACACGCCTGCGCGGCAGTCTCCTGATTTACACAGACGTTCGCCTTCCAAGGCCAGCTCTAGGCAAGAAGCTTCCATTCTACAAAATTATATAGCACAGACATTTACAACATAACATTACAAGTGCATCACTGTAATATAATTTAAATGTGGACTATGTGGCTACTCTTGTTCAGAACAGCTGCCTCTATAATTGAAGTATATACATTACTGATAAAACAGTAAACAGTTTTATTTGTAGCTGAGAGATCTGTTATGTAGGATAGCTAGATATCTTTAAGTGGAGCTCATTTTAATTAGCCCATACACAGCAACTCACTTTACTAGTTAAAGAACCTAAAGCAGGCCAGGCGCGGTGACTCACACCTGTAATCCTAGCACTCTGGGAGGCTGAGGCAGGAGGATCTATACTTTGGCATATTTCCTTTAAATTGGCACACTATATTTAACTTATTAAAAAAAATCTAGCTTCATCTGAATCAGTATCCATAAACCTGTGAATCTGATGATACTTATATTTTCTAATACACATTATATAAATATGTAATTATTAAAATTTAAAAGTAAAATTACCTTATGTGCCACCAGTAATATACATATCACCCTTTGAAAAATACTGATTAAGCTCATCAAACATTTTTAATGTTTGGAACGGCACTAAATTACCACTTATTAGAATTAGCTCTGAGCCACTCTAACAGAGCAGTTCTTAATGCTAGCTTTACAATAGTGGAACACACATAGAGCACTTTTAAAACTCAACACTGAGCCGCACTTGTGGGTGAGGTCAAGTCTCCAAGTAATTTTAACATACAAGCTGGGGTTGAGAATCACTGCTTTTATAAAAAATATGAATTAAACCACCACTCACCCTAATATCATTCAAATATGATTATGCTTTGTGTGTCTAGTAACAAGTCAATTAATGTTTTTTCAGGTGCTCTCTTTTAGTCTATAAAATGTCAAGATTTCTTAGGATCATAAATTAAAATGGGATTATAAAGTAGAAAATAAATCTGATTAGGCTAAAAGAAAGTCTGGACTAAGATTAACAAAACCAAGTGTAAAGGTTCAAAGTAGATTTCTGGTTCAGAACATGCAGATTTATGTAGTTAACACTAACAGGTAATTTTCAAATTTTATATGCAGGTATCTTTTTTTATAATTCAAGTGATTTAGCCAATGGCAACAACTTGCTCATAGTTAGATTAGTGACTTCACCTTCACTTTACAGATCTATGCAAAAAAACCTCCATTTAACATTTTGCATCAACATTAGACTGAGACAGTTAGATAGAGGGAAGATCATGGAAAGATAAATCAGTTAAATCAGAAACCTTAAATTGCTATATTTATTTATACGTCATTTTATAATTAATAAAACCTAGTTTTGTCTCTCACAAGTGAAAACTGCCCTTTAGAATGGTATTTTTTTTTAGAATGGTATTTTTGAAAATAAGAGATTTCATAAAAGAAAAAAGGTTAAGAGTATTTCTGTTTAAGATTTTATGAGGTTACTATCATAGTTTGTGTATAAAGAGAAGTCACCAAAAGATATGTAAAAATGTGATTTTGTAAAATTTTTTTGGTAGAGATAAGGGTCTTGCTATGTTGCCCAGGCTGGTCTCAAAGTCCTGGCTTCAAGCAATCCTCCTGCCTCAGCCTCCTAAAGTGCTAGGATTACAGGCATGAGCCACCACAACAGGCCAAAATGTGATTTTTATTAAAGGGTTCTTTTGCTGAATGAAGTACCTAAACTAGTTATCTTTGTATAAACACTGAAACTAATGAATTTCTAAGAATTATCATAGAAAAAAATTAGAAAAGATTTTTATATATAAAATATAATACTTTTCCTATTAAAAATTTTTAATTTGGCCAGGCACAGTGGTTCACATCTGTGATCCTAGCACTCTGGGAGGCAGAGGTGGGAGGATTGCTTGAGGTCAAGAGTTTGAACTAGCCCGAGCAAAAGCAAAACCCTATCTCTATTAAAAATAGAAAAATTCGGCCGGGCGCGGTGACTCACGCCTGTAATCCCAACACTCTGGGAGGCCGAGGCGGGCGGATTGCTCAAGGTCAGGAGTTCAAAACCAGCCTGAGCGAGACCCCGTCTCTACCATAAAAATAGAAAGAAATTAATTGGCCAACTAATATATATAATATAAAAATCAGCCGGGCATGGTGGCGCATGCCTGTAGTCCCAGCTACTCAGGAGGCTGAGGCAGGAGGATCGCTTGAGCCCAGGAGTTTGAGGTTGCTGTGAGCTAGGCTGACGCCAAGGCACTCACTTTAGCCTAGGCAAGAAAGCGAGACTCTGTCTCAAAAAAAAAAAAAAAAATAGAAAAATTAGCCAGGCATGGTGATGGGCACGTGTAGCCCCAGCTACTTGGGAGGCTGAGGTGGAAGAATCACTCAAGCCCAGGAGTTTGAGATTGAAATGAGCTATGATGGCGCCACTGCACTCTAGCCCAGTCTGAGCAAGACTCTGACTGATAGACAGATAAATAAAATTTAAGCATTCTGATTATGTAAAAAAAAAAAAAAGATTCATCAAGCATTTTCACTGCTAGGAATTATCTTAAGGGTATACTTATACAAATTCAAGAAGATATATATGAAAGGAAATTCATAGCAACAAAAAACCACAAACTAATTAAATGTCCATCAATAGAATACTGGTTAAAAAAAGGCATGCCACCATATAATGGAATACTGATGATGGCACAATTTCACTGAGGGAGAGGTAGGGAAATAGTCACACATGGCAGCACCATCAGTTCAGGATGATTTGGACTGTGAGCCAGGAAATTAGGGATAAGGCAGAACTGGCTATCCATATGTATGACATTTAAAAATTGGAAGTTTATAAGAGTTTGCATATATTCATATAAAGCAGAGAAGTGTCTTCAAATATATATCTTCATCATAAATATTTGAACTTCTGGATTTAAACTTATATACTGTTATACTGGAACCTTAAATCTAAATGATGTGGCATCCAACAAAACTTAGCTATAGGCTGAATGGGTGTCATAAGTGTTACACATTTTTAAAATGTGTATTTTACATATTGTCATTAGAAACAGTGATAGCAATCTGGAACCCTGCTCACTACATGGCTGTCCTCAAAATCCACAGAATGACAGTGCCCTACAGGAGAACTATCTTAGAAAAGATATTTTAGTAACGAATGCCTGAAATACCAAAGTCTAAAACTCTAGTTTTTGATTAATTCTGAGATGGTTCTTGTATATTTTATTAGAAACTAAATCAGTATTTTCGCCAAATCTCCAACACCTCAATCAAATATATGTAATTGCAAAATAGGGCAGGATAGTTTATAAATGTTTTAGAAGATCATTAAATAGTAACAGAGAAAGTAATTTCATATCCCCTCTCTTGCTATGAGAGAATAGAATTACTTCATTTGTTTACCAGTTGAGTTGAAAACAAAGAACATATCCAAATGTAGAAGATACACCAGGAAAATACCTCTCCATTAAATACATCCCATATACAAAGTTTCTTTTATTCTTCCTAATAGCCTATCTAGTTCTATAATCAAAGTGTATTTCCAGAAACTATAAACACAATACCACTATCCCTTACGGAAATGTGTTCATTTTTGCTGACAGAATGATCATTTTAGCTCTAATTCCTCCTTTTCTGCACAAACTCATGCCATTTAAATTTGTTTTAATTTTTTAAAATTTTAACAAACTTTTCTTCCACATTAGATTTTGACCTTTACTATTATCTTCTTTACCTCCTTAATTTTTTCTTGTGTTTATAGTATATCAGTGAATGCAAAGATGATTAAAACCTTGATGCTACATCATTAAAGGATTTAATAACACTAATTATATCCACATCTGACTCTCCCTTCAAAGGGCTTTTACATACTATTTTAGAATAAATGATGGGGTTCAGGACTTAAGATCCAAAACAAGAGTACTCTCCATCTTCTGTGGCTGTGGAATCTCCTTTAACAACCTTTCATAAACTCTAGCTTCACCTTCTATCTCCTTTTCCATCACCAGTCCTACTCCCAATAAACAATTTTCATCCATTCAGTTTACCACATATACCTAGCTATTCTAGTTTATTTTGTGAAAGAAAAAGTAGCACAAAATTATCTTGATTTAAATTTTATTAATGTATGGTGACTTGGCTTTAACATTGATTTTAACCTTTATCAAATTTAATTCTGAAAATAACCCTCTGATATAGGAATTATTACAGAAAGGGGAAACTGATGCTTAGACAGTTTAATTAACCTGCTGAAGGTCATGCAACAGCAAAGCTGAGATATGAAATCCTGTCTCTGTCCCTGGATCCAGTGTTCTTTCCACTACTCCATGTTACTTCAAACTATTCTTCAGGAAAGCACATTATTAACAACTACATTGATATAGGACAATTAAAGAATTCACCACCACTCTGGGAGGCCAAGGCAGGTGGATTGTTTGAGCTCAGGAGTTCGAGACCAGCCTGAGCAAGAGTGAGACCCTGTCTCTACTAAAAATAGAAGAAATTAGCCGGGCATGGTGTCATACGCCTGTAGTCCCAGCTACTGGGGAAGCTGAGGCAGAAGGATGGCTTGAGCCCAGGAGTTTGAGGTTGCTGTGAGCTAGGCTGATGCCACAGCACTCTACCTGGGGCAACAGAGTGAGACTCTGACTCAAAAACAAAATAAAACAAAGCAAAAAGAATTCAACACCAAAACTGTATTCCTTTACAACTTAATGTACTATAGTCTAACTTTTATGATATTAAAATATTGAAATGATTATTCATAATAACGAATATGAACAAGGACATTTCCCAAAGAAATTAAAACCAGAGAAACTAGTGTAATGAACCCAATATATCCATCTTTTAACTTCAATAATTATCAATATATATTATCAATGCTTTATCTCTATTCTCATTCTCATTCCTTCAACCCAAGATTATTCTTAAGTACCTTCCAGAAAGTATATGTAAATTTGCAAATACCTGTAAATATTTTAGTAAGTATCTCGAAAAGATGAGTCTTTTTCAAAAAAACATAATCACAATACCACTATCACACCTAAAAAATTAATAACTTCTTAAAAATCAATCAGTTTTTTAAAAGCTTAGAAATGAACTTCATTTTGCTAATCAGTCTCCACCTTCCAAAATAGGTGCAAAATATTTCATAAAGCATTCTGATGTCCCTCAGAAGGTTCCTTAGTGTCCAAAGAAATATTCCATTTCAAAATTATAAACTCATTGTGCAGAAGAGACCCCCTCTAGGTATAGATGAGGGCCTCCATAATGAAAGAATCAGATGGATAAAACATTACATGCTAAGTATGTGCTAGAATAAAACAGTAACTTACACTAGGCTATGACCTAACATAAAGGGTTCAAATCATTACCTCTAATTATACAACAATCTAATCAATATACAGAGTGCTGAAGAGCACTGATAAAGCCAGGCATTTGTTTGGTGTGTTCCTACTAAAGACAGTTACAGATTTTTTAAGTTTCCCTTGGTGAAGCCCTATAGCAATGTGCAACCATGTTTGACCCATGCTGTATCATGGAAGACAGATAAACATCTTATTAGGTTCATATGATGGTTATATCCAATGGTGTTCAATGGACATATGTGCCAGACAACACACTAAGGGTATGGCTGCCTTGTGGAGCTAATGGTCAAAGGGGGAGACAAAGAAGAAGAGACGGCTATAAAAATAGATGCACTGAATTTTAATATAATTGGTGCTAAGAAAGAGATATGCACAGGATGTAATATGAGCAAAGAGAAGGCATATGGACAAAACTATGGAGTTTAGAAATGGTTTTCACAAGGAGATAATCTCTGATCTGAATTTTAGCTACTGAGTAGAATTAGCTAAACAAAGAAAGTGGGAAGGGAATTCAAGTCATAGGGTACAGCGTGAGCAAAGGCACTGAGACATGAAATAGCATGACGTGTGCAGGGAACAAAGTGCAAGGTGAAGAACAACAGGAAGTAAGGTCTAAGGAATAGGTAGAGCCAGATAGTGGAAGATCCTGAGTACTATGTTCTGCCCTATAGGTGACCAGGACCCACCAATGGTATTAAGCAGAGAGGTTGCATGGTTAGCACTGGATTTTTAGACTGAGCCCTCCAGTGGCAAATTAAAAAGAGAGATTACAAGAGGATAAGAATGAAGAATGGTGGGAGTCTGGAGGGAAGATCCTTGGGATCTCAACTACAGCAGTGGTGAGGAGGATGTAGATGAATGTGAGAAACAGGAGATGAAACTGGCAGTACTTCATGCAGGATGCAGAGAGTGAGAATGGAAGAAAGTATATAAAATAACTCTCAGGTTTCTGGAAATATGGTCTAAAGCAAAGGTCCCCAACCTTTTTGGCACCCGGGACTAGTTAGATGGAAAACAAATTTTCCACCCCAGGGTAGGTGGGGGTTTGTGGGTGGAGTTGTGGGCAGCAGAGCTCAGGCAGTGTGATAAGGAGCAGCAGGAGCGGCTGTAAATAGAGATGAAACTTCCCTCCTTTGCCTGCTGCTCACCTCCTGCTGTGCCCCCCTTCCTTCTGTTCCTAAGTTTCTGGGCAGTGGAGCTCTGTGCCCTAGTCCCTAATGGACCACTGACCGGCCCAGGGGTTGGGGACCACAGGTCTAAAGGATAGGGTGAGGGCATTCCATATATTAAAAGCTCATCTTAATCATGCTGAATGTCTTCGATTTTCTTTTATTTGAAACTCTTTTTAATGGAAATGTCCTCACCTTGCCTATATTAACTTCCTTAGCATGAACCTTCCTAACATGAACCATCTACTCCACACAGGACAATAAATCTCCTATTTCCTAAATATGTTAAGACATCTAAAATTTGGTAAAAAACACCATCATTCAGAGATTTTGAATTCTATTCATTGCCACAAAATTTTGATGTTTATCTAATAATTAACTTGTAACAGTTTAGATGAAGAATCTATTATCTAATTACCTTACTAAATAATTATAATATTTAAGTTTGTGTTTATTTTATGGTTTTAGTACAATGATCAGAACTTCTAGAAAAAATATTACATAATATTCATAGTGCAGATACTCTTGCTTTGTTCCTAATTATATTAGAAATGTCATTAATATTTTATCACTAAACATTACACTGGCTATTGGTTTATCACATTTATAAAGTACCCAACTATTCCAACTTTATGTAAAACCCATTTCTTTAAAAAGCTCACTTATGGGGGCTGAGCTCTGAGTGTGGGTAGGGGCAGACTACATGCTCTTGGGGACTGTTACTGGGTGCCTGGTGTTAACAGGTGACACTTACCTAAGCAGCTTGTCTGGTAGGGTGCAATAGGAGGATGTGTATGTGGCCCTGCAGGAGCAAAGAATGGGAGCCTGGCTCGCAATAGCCAGTACCTGGGGGGTGGGACAAATGGCAGGTGTTCCAGGCATCCTGGCATTCCAGGTCATCCAAGGAACAGAGGGTGAAGTCTGGGAGGCAAAGGAACCTGGGGAGTTTAGGAAATGGAGGGTAGAGGCACAAAGGGCAGGTGATGAGGTGGGCAGGGCCAGAGGATGGGGCTTTGTACTTGAGGTACAGGAGGATTAAAGCCTAATTCTAGGGTAAGAATATTTATATTCTGGAGAGCAGCTTTCTGGAAACCCTGGGCTCTGCCTCCCCCACCTAGCCTGTGTGGCTTTTTGGGGAGTTGTGTTTCTATTACAGGCCTCCTTTTTCTCCTTGTTGGAATGAGGGGTCTATTCAACCCACATTTTAAAAAAACAATTGCATTAGCTGCCAACATTTCAGAATTTGGAGATATCACACTAAAGATCAGAGATTTCCTGTGCTGTCCTGAAAAATCCTGTACCTTCATTCTGCCCAGCAGTAGTTGCTTTGACCTTAACTGTTGCTATAACTTCCTGGACAGTTTAATTCCTTTCCTGCTGTAGGTGTCTGATTTGGATCCTGATCTAGATTCAGTGGAGAGCAACGCCCCCCCCCCCAACACACACGTACAAGGTATTATATAAGGTGTTGCCAAATGGAGTGTTGCACTTGTGAAAAATACTTGTGGATACAGAACACCACTGGTCCCCACAATCTGCAACCTTCCACCTGGAATGCAGACAGTCCATTTGGGCATCGAAGGCAATGCTGTAAATCCTACAGGAGCCGAACCATTTCACTAGGGCTACATGAAGCCTGTGAGAGAATATAGGTGTCCTTCCTCAGTCTGACTTGCTTTCAAGAGTAGGCTAGGGGCCGGGTGCAGTGGCTCATGACTGTAATCCTAGCACTCTGGGAGACTAAGGCGAGAGGATTCCTCAAGGTCAGAAGTTTGAAACCAGCCTGAGCAAGAGTAAGACCCTGTCTCTACTTAAAATAGAAAGAAATTAATTGGCCAACTAAAAATATATAGAAAAAATTAGCCAGGTATGGTGGTGCATGCCTGTAGTACCAGGTACTTGGGAGGCTGAGGCAGAAGGATTGCTTGAGCCCAGGAGTTTGAGGTTGCTGTGAGCTAGGCTGACACCATGGCACTCTAGCCCAGGCAACAGAGTGAGACTCTGTCTCAAAAAAAAAAAAAAAAAAAAGAGTAGGCTAGGGATCATTAAACCACTATACTTCATGTAAAAATGTGGCCTTACTATAAATCAGCAAAACACCACAAAACATGTCCTTAGGCATTAAGCTTAAAAATGATTTTTTTTTTGGATAGTGCTTTTTTGTATTTTAAGAATCCTGGATTTATATTAATATGGACTAAGTAAATATTTAAGAGAGTTATAATGGTCATGAAATAAAATTTCCTTTAAAAATAAGAAAATAAAAAGCTGGGTGCAGTGGCACACACCTGTATTCCTAGCTACCCAGGAGAGCAGGAAGATCGCTGGAGCTCAGGATTTCAAGACCACCCTGGGCAATATACCAGGGCCTCATCTCTAATAAAACAGAATTTTAAAAAAAAGGAAGAAGAAAATGAAAATGAAAAATATACAGAAAGGAAGTGAGAAGAGAATCAAAACAATGCACTAGAAAAAAAATCCAAAAAAATTAAAAGTTCATTTACAAAAGATCACCATTTAAAAATTATAATGCAAAAGTTAGGTCCTTCAGCTGACCACATTAAAAAAGCCCATCTTTTTACCCCCAAAGATTTTGAAATATTAATACATTCCATTTATATATTTGCATTATATAAAAAAATAACGTATTCACAAACTCAGAGAACATTCATAAACAAACAATAGTACATAGTTGGTCTCTACTAACCATCTTCCTAAAGAAAGGACACAAAAACTTAGAACCACAACAAAAAGAAAACATTGTCTATAGGAGATACTAACTATGGCTGGTATATTTTGAATATTTTCAAATGAAATCTGAAATGGTCAGAGTTAAATACATTTTAAAATAGGGATTAAAAGTCACCCACTAAGAAAGCAGTAGTCTTACCTGTAACGAACATGAAAAGAATGGTCTTCCCTCATGTTTATCAAATTTTCCTCCATCGAGTCATACTACAAGCTGAGTAAAATATGAAATTATTTTTTATTTTGTGCCAATCCAGTTCTTTAAAATGCAGAATTGTTTGCAGAACATTGTCCGGTTAGTATATTAATGAGTTGGTGTTAATACATCCTAAGCTCCTGCTTCTTCTTTATTAATAATGAAAGGAGGTCAATGTCAGACAGCTTAAAGTTTCAAAATGTGTCCCAAATCCTTGCATCTCTGGCCCTTTCAGCAGCACTTCAGCAACATTTCTGCAAAAGGAATACAAGATGCTTTGCTTGAAGTCCTAGATTTTCAAAGAATAACCTACAGTAACCCTGAACTGTACATAATCACAAGCTAACTCCACAGACTGCTGTCATGTTAATCACTACAAAACACAGCAGAGGGCTTAACTGTCATCATGGAGCTTCTAAATAAGGATGTAAATATATTAGATCTATTTGAGAACTGCACTTAAGTTTAATTTTTTTAATTGGTTTGTAATACAATACTTTTATATATATTTCCTATTATAAATAATAGCAGAATGGTATGTATCATATTAGTATCTAAAAATAAAACTGATACTTTGAACTTTTAAAAACTGCTATTAACAAATCAAATGAAAATCCAATAATTATTTGAAAAATTATACACTGTAAATGTATTTCTTCAAAGAAGGTATCACACTGACAAGGTATATTTATATTCATTTGCTCTCAAAGTATATTCTACTTAAGGTCTTTAAAATGTTTTTATTAATACTGAGAGGGTACAAAAATTGAGAAAATATGTGTATGGTAAAAATAATGACACAATAAACATTTATATAATACCACCTAGTTTAAGATAAATAACATTACACCACTGCCTTTGAAGACTCCTGGGCACCTCAACCTAACCCATCTCTCTCCTTTCCCCTCTAAGGTGATCTTTAAAGTGAATTTTGTTCATTATTCCCTTGCTTGTTTTTACACATTTATGTATAGTCCTAAATAACATATCATTTAGTTTTGTGTGGTTTTGCTCAACATGTTTCTGAGATTCATCTCAATTGTTACACATAGCTACAATTGGCATATTTGTATTGTTGTATCCACTGTAGTCCACTGTATACCAAATATATTTTTCATTCTGCTATTGATGGGCATTTGGATTGTAGCTTTTTGAATTACTGTTATTAAAAGTTCTATTATGAACACTGATATTAACTCAATGTACTAGTTAAGGAGCAGAGCAGATACAGTTAAAGAGAGAATGATAAACAGGTAAAGAGATAAAAAATACGAAACAAAGGTGGACAAAATGAGAAGCTCTAAAATAGACCTAATAGGAGGACCAGAAGGAAAACTACAGAGTAAAGGCAAAATCTTCAGTGATAAAAACTGAGAATTTTTTAGAATTGTAGACATGGAAATTGAAGAAGCACATTAAGCCTTAAACAGGATAAATAAAAATGAATCCATACTCAGATATATCACAGAGAAACTACAGCACATCAGATAAAAACTATAACCTCTGGCATAACAATTGAGAGAGACAAATGAGATATATATATCTGAAATAAATTAATAGATATATAATCATAAATTCCTAGAATCTTAGTGTTAGAAACAACCCTACAGGTCAGTTAGTCTAACATTTTACTACAGCATTCCCAGTTAGATTATAAAGCAGCTAATCCTAATTCTGAATAGTCCTATTAGAAAGTTTTTCCATACTTTGAGCAATCTTTCCATTTCTACCCCATTTGTCCTGGTTCTTCCCTCTGCTGCCATAATTCCTCTTCCATATAACATCCTTTTAGGTATTTCAGCTATAACACAAACCAGACTCTAAATAAATAACTAACACCCATTACTTTGTTAATTAAGTACAGTTAGAGGTTAGCAGAGAACAGAGCAGTAACGTGAGAGGGAGGAAGGTAGAAAGAACCAGCCTTGGGAATACTAAAAAACTTCCAAGAGGAAATGAAGTTTTCGTATTAATAATTGGTTTGGCATGTAAGAGTCACAAAATATTAATCCTCTTATCCTTTCCCTTGGCCAACAAAGGAAGTAGTATCGTATTGTTTTGCTTTTGTTACTTTGGGTTTTTTTTTGTTTTTTTTTTTTTTAAGAGATGGGATCTAGCTATGTCATGCAGGCTGGAAGGCAGTGGCTAGTCACATTACCATGATAGCTCACTGCAGCCTCGAACTCCTGTTCTCAAGCGATCCTCCTGCGTCAGCCTCCTTGGTAGCTGGTAGCTGGAACTACAGGCATGTGCCACCATGCCTAGCTAGAAAGCAGTATCTTAAGAAAGGATGAAAAATACATGTAGAAGCTATTAATATGGCAAATTTTCTTGTTTTCTTTTGTAAAGAGAATTAGTGTAGATATTCATAGCAATAGCCCCGAAGTGCATCTAGAATACACAGCAGCTAAACTGGCAACCAAACTGTCTTCCATTATTCACTATGAAAGGCTGTCATTTCTAAAATGGGACGGAAAGAGAGGTATTAGCACTAGTTTAACTTAGAATTAAATAAATTACAGTAGGCCTTCTATATCTGTGGGTTCCACATCCATGGATTCAACCAAGAGAGGATCGAAAATATTTGGGGGGAAAAAAGGATGGCTGAATATGTACTGAACATGTACAGACTTTTTTCCCTTATCATTATTCTCATAACAACTATTTACATAGCATTTACATTGCATTATATAAGTAATCTAGAGGTGACTTAAAATATGTGGGAGGATATGCATAGGTTATATGCAAGTACTACACCATGTTATATAAGGGACTTGAGCATTTGGGGATTCTAGAAACAAGGGATACCAAGGGACGCCTGTATTTTTAATTTAAATATTTTTCTCATCCATGAGATAATGAAATTTCAAATTTTACCAATCCCTTAAAAATGTTAATTCACTTATTAAAACAAACATGTAATTATTTACATGTTCAACAAATTAACAAATTAATTAATAAATGAATAAAAATAAATGAAGTTGTTCAAGGCTGCTTTCTGGTTGGTAAAAAAAAATGAATAAATTAAATAAATATATGAAGTTGAAAGATACCTTATCTGATAAACTGCAAAGGGAATATAATTTTTAACATAATTAAAACAAGAAGATAGAATGCTATTCACTGTTTTACTAAGGACAATTTACAATAGGGTCTTACAACTCTCAAAAGAATATCCAAAATAGTCACTCTTACATTATAATCTCTATAACAATTAAGTAGTATTTCATATCTTAAAATTATTCACTGAACAAACAAGCAATTCTTGATTCATGATTCATGTTGCAAGAACTCTCTAACCAATTTAGTAACAACGTGATCACCTGTGCTCCACCTTACACGGAATTAACAAACCCACCTCACATTTAACACTATATAAAGTGAGTGTTGGCCAGGCGCAGTGGCTCACACCTGTAATCCTAGCACTCGGAGGCAGAGGTGAGCAGATCATTTGAGCTCAGGAGTTCAAGACCTGCCTGAGCAAGAGTGAGACCCCATCTGTACTAAAAATAGAAAGAAATTAGCTGGACAAATAAAAATATATAGAAAAAATATATTTTTTTCTATGGCATGGTGGTGCATACCTGTAGTCCCAGCTACTTGGGAGGCTGAGGCAGGAGGATCACTTAAGCCCAGGTTTGAGGTTGCTGTGAGGTAGGCTGACGCCATGGCACTCTGGCCCAGGCAACAGAGCAAGACTTTGTCCCAAAAAAAAAAAAAAAAAAAAAGTGTGTGTGTGTGTGTGTGTGTAAGACTAGTAAAATTTGTAACAAATAGTAAATTACAAATTTGTTCATTAGATAAGAAAATTTAATGACAGAACCAGGAATGGGAATGGAAATTATCAGTTTGAAGGAATACTGAAAAGTCATCAAGTTTAACCTCCAACCTCCATTAAGACTTACAACTAGTAATTTGCAATGAACAAATCCATCCCTTAACGGCATCTCCCAAACAATGCTCCAGAAACCTCACTAGTAACAAAACTGTTAGGTCACAGCATCTTTTGGTCTGACCATAAAGAAATAAAGAGAAAGCAATCATCTTTTCCATATCCCAAAAATGGACAGAAAGATCAACTAGTACACAACTCTCCTCACAATTACCTGATTAGAAAGTCAAAATAGGCAGACTCTCTTTATAACTAGGTCGACTTTATAGCTAGGTGGACTTCTAAACACTGTCCAAGGTATGCAATCAGAGTAGACATGAAATCCTGGCCCTGGTTTACTCCATTGGCAATAAAATGCTTGCAAATCAGGTGATGAGGGAAAATGGGGGAAAGACAGATGTCGTCCTTCTTTGAATTTATCTAAACTATCTGCTCCTGACTGCCACTTAAATGCCAATAACTTCTGATCTGTTTCATTCAACAATCTATATAAACTTGTAACACCCATCAGATGACAAATACAACTTACTTTTCTTGCCTCCAGGTTAGATTATCTAAACTATATATAAACTTTTTTGGTAAGCACAGCCATTTATTACTACTAATGTTGGTCAGCCATCTGCTTCAATCAATTAATACATATATATGATAATTTAAAAACTCAACAGTGCAATAGAAAAGAAGTGATCCTTTCTACTAAGTATTGTTCTTGAATTAGTACATGACAATAAATCAGTTCTCTTAACAGGACTTTAAAATGGCAAAATTGGTTTCAAACACATTTTTAAGCAGAAATAAATCCCAACTGCAAAAGGTTTATAAATGACTAAAATGGGTCCCTAGAGAGTTTGAGTTTAGAATTCTTCATGGGGAAAATATATTAAACATGACCCTGTCCTCTCTTCCCAAAACTTATCACTATTCTGTGGGAAAACATATGTTTCTATGCAATTCAATAATGTTATGAGATGGTATGGGAAGAATAATTCTAACTAAAAAGGACCAGGGAAAGCTTTTTGGAAGCAAGGAAATCTGTACTGCACCTTGAAAGATGGCTAGATCTTATTAGGCAAATGGAGGAAAGGCATTCCAGTCGAGGGAAATGGTTCAAGAAAAAGCAAAGAGGTAGGAATGCACAGAATGTTTTCCAGGATAAGCACATTGGGTTAAAAGTAGTCGAACAGTCTGAGAAGGTAGAACAGTACCAAACTGTGAGGGACTCTGAATACAGAGTCAGCCTTACATTTATATAATAGGTAAACTTTTAAGGTTTTGTTTTTTTTGGTTTTTTTTTTGAGACAGAGTCTCGCTTTGTTGCCCAGGCTAGAGTGAGTGCCGTGGCGTCAGCCTAGCTCACAGCAACCTCAATCTCCTGGGCTCGAGTGATCCTTCTGCCTCAGCCTCCCGAGTAGCTGGGACTACAGGCATGCGCCACCATGCCCGGCTAATTTTTTATATATATATATCAGATGGCCAATTAATTTCTTTCTATTTTTTTTTTTTATAGTAGAGACGGGGTCTCGCTCTTGCTCAGGCTGGTTTTGAACTCCTGACCTTGAGCAATCCGCCCGCCTCGGCCTCCCAAGAGCTAGGATTACAGGCGTGAGCCACAGCGCCCGGCCAAGGTTTTGTTTTTGACAAAGGAATAGCAAAGTGGGATCTGTGCTAGAAAAATAAACCAGCAGCAACATATAAAGCAGAATGGGGAGACAGACAAGAGAAAAATACCGCAAAAACTCCAGAAACAACTATTGAATAGGAAGCATTCTCATCATCTCATAACACCAAGGACATCGCTTTGCACATGAAAGATGTCCAACAAACTTTTTGCTTTCTTGCCTGGAAAAATATAGGAACTATGAAGCAGCAAAGAATCCTACAATAGCGAGAAAACCTGACTTTGATACATTTCTGCTCCACAATAAAGATTATATTCAGGCCGGGCGCTGTGGCTCACGCCTGTAATCCTAGCTCTTGGGAGGCCGAGGCGGGCGGATTGCTCAAGGTCAGGAGTTCAAAACCAGCCTGAGCAAGAGCGAGACCCCGTCTCTACTATAAATAGAAAGAAATTAATTGGCCAACTGATATATATATATAAAAAATTAGCCGGGCATGGTGGCGCATGCCTGTAGTCCCAGCTACTCGGGAGGCTGAGGCAGAAGGATCACTCAAGCCCAGGAGTTTGAGGTTGCTGTGAGCTAGGCTGACGCCACGGCACTCACTCTAGCCTGGACAACAAAGTGAGACTCTGTCTCAAAAAAAAAAAAAAAAAGATTATATTCAGATTCATATAAATAACTCAGAAGAGTCTTACTTTTAATTTATAAATGTTTTGTAAAGATGATTAAAAGGCTACTAAAAATGTTCTGTGATTTGTAAGGCAATGAAAACAAGATAGTTCAAAAAGGACTGAAATATTTCTGCTTAGTCACAACAAAACACAGCACCTACAGGCATATTTAAAGTAAAATTATGTCCCTACAAATGGAATCCAGAGACATGGCAGAAGCTCAAACACATACAAAAAAGCAGTAATACAGCATGTGCTTTGGGATCAGGCCATGGTTTGAATCCCAGCACAGTGATTTATTAGTTATATGATCTTAAGCTAGTTAAACTCTCAGAACTGGTGTGGGCATAATGGTACTTATCTAACATGTGGTGTGATGATCCTCTGAGACACAATTTACAAAGCACCTAACCCAGTGCCTGACTCTGATATTAACAAAAGTACTCAATAAAGGATAGGACTGTAGTAATAGTTGCTGTTATTATAAAATAGAATATGTCTATTAGAATAGATTTAGAATAGTCTAAATCTATGTTAGGTTTTCAATTTTAAAATCCCAGAGAACTACTTACAAAACTTATTTTTTAGATAAATCTTAGAAATATTTTATGATTAATAAAAGGTGGCCAGACACAGTGGCTCACACCTGTAATCCTACCACTCTAGGAGGCTGAGGCGGGAGGATTGCTTAAGCTCAGGAATTCAAGACCAGCCTGAGCAAAAAAAGTGAGACCCCGAGACCCCATCTCTACAAAAAAATAGAAAAATTAGCCGGGTGTTGAAGCACTCGCCTATAGTCCCAGCTACTTGGGAGGCTGAGGCAGGAGGATAGCTTTAGCTCAGGAGTATGAGGTTGCAGTGAGCTATGATGACACCACTGCACTCTTCCGGGTCTGGGGACAGAGCGAGACACTGTCTCAAAAAAAAAAAAGTCA